ACCCTTAATGATGTGAGACGGCTCGCTAACCAGCCCCCTGACCAACACTCACCCTCACATGTCTACATTAACAAAGACGGTCTATTGGTGAGAAGTTACACAGCGCCCGACGGCCTAGGCGATGAGGTGGAGCAACTTGTAGTGCCTACACAGTTACGTCAAGCTGTACTCGAGGTAGCTCACGATAACAACTGGTCAGCTCACATGGGCGTGGCCAGAACCATGTCCAGAATACTGGAGCAGTTTTGGTGGCCAGGTATAAGGAAAACGGTAACCCATTACTGTAAGACTTGTGATGTCTGCCAGAAGCTCAAGAAACCTAGTGCAGGGGGCCGGGCTCCTCTAGGAATGATGGAGGAAGTAGGCAAAATCTGGGGCAAGATAGCTATAGACATAGTCGGTCCAATCAATCCCATGTCCACTAAGGGGTACAGGTACATTCTGACCTTAGTTGACACGGCAACCAGATGGCCTGAGGCTATTCCGCTGAAACGCGTAACTGCCGAAGATATACAGGAGGCTTTGGCGGGCGTGTTTTCGCGCATGGGGTTACCGGACGAGATTCTCTCCGACAATGGCGCTCAATTTACTAGCGACCTGATGACGCAAGTCATGTCGTTAATGGGGATCAAACAAAAGTTTAGCACCCCTTGGCACCCGGCGAGCAATGGAATGGTGGAGCGTTTTAACGGCTCGTTGAAAACCATGCTATATAAGGTAGCAAATAAGAAACCAAAAGAGTGGGAAAGCCATATCCCTTCGGTCTTGTTCGCATACAGGGAGGCAACACATGAAACCACGGGGTTTTCACCATTTGAGCTCATGTTCGGGAGAAAGGTTAGAGGCCCTTTGGCTATTTTAAGAAATATGTTCACTGGTTGTAATGAAGATGCTGGCAATGACGAGCAAACTCATAAGTACCATGAATACCTGGACATTCTTAAAGACAGATTAAAAACCAGTGGGGAAATTGCTAAAGCAAATATCTATGCCAACAAGAAAAAGATGAAAACATACTATGATAAAAAAGCCAAGGATAAAGTCCTTAGTGTGGGAAGTTTAGTTGTAGTCATGAAACCATCAGGGGGTGGTAAATTAGAAAAGGCACGCTGGCATGGCCCTTACAGGGTCATAAAGAAAGCCAGCCCCGTCAACTACACTGTTCTTGAAAAAGGAAAAGAAAAAACCTATCATGCTAACATGCTAGTGGAGTACCACAAACGAAGTGGCAAGCAAATGAAGAATAAACCTGAACAAAGCACCAGCTCTAATACCGACACAGACGGTGTACACGCAGCATACGCAGTTGTCATGGAAGAAAAGGATGATATACACAACACTGTCAATACGGTAACCACGCTCACGCTAGAGGACACCGAGACAGTTGATGATGTACTGGTGAACCCCGAACTAACGGAAACACAAAAACATGAGCTGTACACGATATTAGACCACTTCTCTGATGTCATAACCAGCAAGACAGGGAAAACAGATCTTATCTCCCACACTATACAACTAACTTCTAGCAAACCTATTTTTCAAAAACCATATCCCACCCCGTTCTCAACTAAACAAGTTATTCTCGAGGAGGTGAGAAAAATGGAGCAGGCAGGGATCATAGAAAAATCTAACTCTCCATACGCATCACCGGTGGTCCTGGTTCGAAAGAAAGACGGGTCTAACAGATTTTGTATAGACTACAGACAAATTAACCAGATAACGGTAACGGATGCTGAACCGATTCCGAATCAGGAAGAATTGTTTACCGAACTCACTAGTGCTGCCTATTTTACAAAAATCGATCTTGTCAAAGGATATTGGCAGATACCAATTGATGAGGAAAGCAAAAAATACACGGCATTTCAAACAAACTGGGGACTATATCAGTTTTGTTTTATGCCATTCGGGTTATGCAACGCACCTTCCACCTTCGCTCGGTGCATGCGAACAGTATTTGAAGATCAGGAAAATGTAGTTAGTTTTTTTGACGACCTACTTGTATTTGGGGAATCATGGGAGATCCATAACAAAGCTCTGGTAGAAGTCTTAGAACGGCTGCGCAGAGCCGGTCTAACAGCCAAACCATCTAAAATGGTCGTGGGTTTTCCCGAGGTGGAATTCCTAGGACATGTAGTAGGTAATGGTCAGCTCAAACCACAAGATAACACTATTGAAAAGATTCTGCATGTCCACCCACCCAAAACAAAGAAACAGGTAAGAAGCATAATTGGCCTGATCAGCTATTATCGCAAGTTCATCCCTAATTTTGCTGACATAACAAGTGTATTTTCAGAGTTGGTTAAGAAGGGAAAACCTGACCGGGTTGTCTGGTCTGGGGCTTGTGAAGAGGCACTCAACGAAATACAGGGGGCATTCTCTACTTCACCTATCCTTTCATTGCCTGATCTGTCTAAACCCTTTATCCTCAGATCTGATGCTAGCTCATATGCCATAGGTGCTTGTTTATTACAAGAGCACAATGGACTGTTACACCCTGTACTTTATGCTAGCAGGAAATTGTTACCTCGAGAAACACGTTACAGTGTTATTGAGAAGGAAGCTCTGGGCTTAGTGTGGTCTATTACAAAATTTTCTAGATATCTGTGGGGCACACATTTTATTGTCCAGACAGATCACAAACCCCTTACAGTCCTTCAGTTCTCAAAACCTGTCAACAGCAGATTAGCTAGATGGGCCATGACACTGCAGGAATATCACTTTACCATCCAGCCTATTGCTGGCTCTGAAAATGTGTTGGCAGACTTCCTTAGCAGAATAACTGCAGCATAATAGCATAACTCATCTGGTTTTGTACACCTCAACGGTTTAGTATTTTACTATTATTACTGTTAAATTTATTTTGTATGTTAACATTGTTTCTTTTACTAAATGGTTAACTGATGATATTATTAAGACACTTGCTTATTATGTATATAAGCTTACTTTTACACTGTTGAACTCAGATGTATAACCTACAATTATCACACTTATATTTTGCCTATAGTAAAGGTAACACAGTATTGTATTCAACCACCTTGTATACAAGCAACAACGTATATTAATGTACAATTTTTTGTCCGTTGAACACTTCTTTGTAGTTACTACTTATAGCTCATTATACCATGCTATGACGTTTCATGTAATAGCCTTAACCATTTATTTATCTATATATATTTTTTTTGTGACGGCTACTTCAGTCCGCTAAAGTTGTACTTTTAGCAAAACATTTAGCGCGGAAAGGGGGTGTGACGGTAATGTGATTCTACCGCCACCCTGTGCTCCGCCTCTTCCTCCCTCTTTCTCCCCCCCCCCCCCCCCCCCCCCGTTAGACTGTTCAGTCGCTAGATCTACATTGTGACTCATCCCAAGCCGAAAAGGCTTATGGGACAGGCCCGTCGCTGGTGCGATATTAGGGCCGGTAACCGATTAACTCGGTCTTTCTACCCCGACCACTGCCCTTGCTCAGCGCACCTGCACGCTAACCCTCACCCTGGGTATAAGCGTCCAAGAAATTAGGAGTTATCGCTTCTTAACAGAAGGTATTTGATTATTTTAAAAAACTAGAAATCTATAATATCGACCTTAAGTGTCATAGTTTTATTGTCTGCATTTGATGTAATTTTACTATTATCTATATTGTTGTAATTTTCCCTCAACTTGAGTTGTATTGAATGAGTACCTCTCATTACTATATCCCACAACATTGTTCTATCCTACACATGTAACTCTAGTTATGTTGTTTATGTTAGCAATATTTAGTAGGCCATGCCTTCTATTTACAGCGTTCTAGGTCGGGGACCAATCATACAACTCACAACTGCTATTTTAACAGACAAGGCGAACGCATGTGTACGCGTTGGAAGTCTCAAGTTATTAAGTTATGTAAACCCTATATGTGTAATGAAAGTTTATAATTAAGACATCACATACGCAAAACAAAGTTTGTAATAAATTTATTAATAACCTTCTAGGTTATTAGCGTTATTATTTTAATATCAGTAACTGTTGTACTATATTCCCGGTAGAGAAGCGGCACAGACCCTCCTACCGGTTGAATTTACAGATTTTACTACTATCACGGTACAAATATACAATTTTACCGTTAACATCCGCCCCCCCCCCCCTCGGCCCACCAAGTCAACAGTGGAACAATTTGCTGAATAAAGCGACCAGAACAAATCAGGTGTGATGTTGTCCTATGTCCTACGTATATCAGTAAGTGTGTTGCTGACCAATCCGGAGCCCTGCCCCCCCCCCCTCCTAAGAGATGCCTGGAAGATACTCTCTTCTAGTACCATCGGGGCTTACTACCACAAGAGCATTATATATATATATATATATATATATATATATATATATATATATATATATATATATATATATGTGTGTGTGTGTGTGTGTGTGTGTGTGTCCGTATCAGTTAAATTGACGAAGACGGCCTAACGGGGCGTTTTGAGGAACGAAATGTTTAAAAAGTTGTTACGGTAGACTTTCTTCGGGGGGGGGGGCTCTCTGCCCTCCCCCTCCCCTCCGACGAGATGCCTCTGTTAGTATCTCATACGAAGCAGCAAGTTACTGAAAGGGGGAGGGAGGGGCTCTGATCGCGTTAAATTTCTTTGCGGCTTGTAGGCATTGGCTAGAGATTACCGATTACATTAATTTGTAGTCTTGCTAAAAACTGTAAACAATAACAATTAACATGGGGTCAATGCCAAAGACACCACTGACCAGGTTTTTTTTTTTACTAATGTGTTGGCGAAGAAAAAATAAATAAACTTTGTCTATTCGGATACTTAAATTATCCGCTTATCATTGAAAACCTCGACTGCACTTAGGCTAACACAGATCTGATATAGACTCTATTTTTAATCAATGAATTTGATTTTTCGGTTGCATAATGTTGTATCATGAAACATTTTATATTCTTTAAAAGAAGTGTCTGTAAAGTAAAATATTATGCTGATAACCTGGGCCTACAGTTTGCGAAAAATCTGACAGAATAATCAGTAAACTCTACGTCATATCCTTTCCTTCCAAGATGTCGCGGCGAGACGGTGCGATTTATGTGGGTAGATTATCAAAAAGCACTAGAACCAGAGACTTAGAAGAAATCTTTGAGCCCTATGGAAGACTGTTACGTTGTGACATTAAATATGGTAAGTAAAAGATCTTATTTTACAACTAGTAACTGTATCTGAACTTCTACCTCCAGAGTTTTTATTTTTAGCTGGGTTGGTTTAGCAAAAAGACTGGGATAGACAACGCGGAGGGGAATCGTTCACTTTAGGTTTCTTTCTTTCTTTCTAGTCTGAACTTTATGTATATATTATATAATGATTCGTTACTAAAATATAATATAAATAATTTAAAAAGTGTATTTTGATGATACTAAACTTCTAGATCTATCCATTATAAAAGAAACTAAAGCTCCAAGTCCAATGTGTAGAGTACTGTAGTAACTGTAGAGAGACCATTTTGAATTTATTTGACCTACTTTTTTGTCAAGCCAAACATCACAAAAACAGATCTAGAAATCTAGATCTAGCTCAAGGATTTAGATCTGTAGACAAGACCAGAATGTAGATCTAAAGTCTAGCTAGGGCAAAGTAGCTAGGCCAATGCAAAAATTTAATTTCAGTAAAACAATATAATAGTTACATATTTGGATAGGGGCTGTCAATCTGATTACAGATCAGTTTGAATTTTCAAAATCTGACCATAAACAAAAAAGTTATGAATTTTTTTGTCATTAAAAAACAGCAGTTTTTTCAGACAACCGGGGTAGACCCTGAAAGAGGAAAAATACTGGGAGGGTATGGACCAAATTTTTAAGAGTTTTTCACTAAAAGTGGTATAAAAGCAAGCAGACTTAACCAATTGATGTCATTTTATGATATTTTGTAGATTTTTGTATGCCGAATCCAATGATGCTATTTTAAAAAGTGTCTTTTGATTACATAACAGACTTATTTCATGGATTATGTAATACCCCCCTTCAATTTTTTTTACAACATCTGATAATCCGTGTGATAAGAAGTCATTCTTTAAATTAAACACTGTTTTAAACCATAATATGACATTTGTATATGCTGAAGCTAATGGTGATATTTAAAATGGTCAAACATTATTACAAAACTATAAAGGTCAGGTTATGTAATTCGCACCTTTTGCTCATAATTTACCATGTATTTATTTTAAAATCTCTTTTGCTCACTGTCAGTTAACTTAAGTGAATAGCCTACTTAAAGTAAAGATAACTAATACAGTTTTAATACAAAGAGAAGGATGCTATAACAATAGTATATTTGTGATGATGTAACTTCTTAAAATATGTTATGTAATCTATGTGCAATCGTACAGGCCTACTCTATTCCAAAATTATAGGCATATCTTATTATATTTATATTTCTTGTTACTTTAAATGTCATACCATTGATACAACTTTCTTCTATAGAATTAGCCTAGTTACAAATGTGTCTTATCAGAATCAGTGTGCTTTATTATAATTTTGTAATATTTTTAAACACAAAAAAAATTGCTCATTTTTACAATTTTAATAACATAAACATTGGAGGAAAATTGTTTTTTTTTAGCTTGTACAAGGTAGTGTAAGTTATAGGTCTATAACATAGATTTATATATGCTCAATGTTTATGCTAGTTGTAAGCTTGTGTATTTTGTAGGCCTACCATAGGCCTATTACATTGGGAAAAAAGCACGTGTTTGAGTGCTTGACTGTGTGTAGTAGATGCTAGGCATTTTTAAAGTTTCCCGTGTCTGCCTAAACACAGACGTTTATCACCATCAGCATTTGCCTAGATTTAGTGAAATCAGACGTGGTTAACCAGGTTTTCTGACCAACGAATTTTATTGCCGTATTACGTAAACACGAGGCAAGATAGGCTAGTCGGCCAACCCGATGAACGTTTCAGACGAATATTATGTAATTTTAGAGACAAAAGTCTGGGAAGATTTCCTAAACTATGCCCGAGGGTTAGTAACATTAACTCCACAAAGTGAAGGGGGAGAGAGGTGGGGTATAAAACCATCGCGAGCCGCTCGGGTACCGTACGGGTGTTATACAACATCAAAGGCGCCGACCCTCGGCTTGTCGCGTCACGGAGTAGTGGGGGCGGGGTGAGGCTATGGATGTTACATACGGTGTTACAATAGTTACATACCGTGTAGGATGGTCAGTGACTCCCCATACCCACCCCATCCCATTTTGGTCGATTTGGCAAGCTAGTACTGTAGTAGCCTCCACGTTGTTAAGGGTTTTAAAATTTTTAAGTCAACCGAAAAAAAAGAGCCCGGGGTAAAATTTAATTTATTTTTTAAAGCCATTTTTACGAAAAAGTAATGTACACAATAAAATAATGAAACGTTACGCGAATCACGTGAGCATTGTTTGGTCGGGTCGCAGCTATCCGGATTAATTTCTAAAGAAGATTAATTTTGACGATTAGTAAATACTATTACGACTTTTTTTTGCCGTTTCAATGGTTTAAAACAAAGTTATGAAACATGCCTGTCTACTTAAATATAAAATAGCAAAAGCCGACAAGTCAAACACGAGAACACACTATCTATCTTTAGAAATTGTTTATAGTCTCATCCAATCGGATCAACCGCCTAGCGTCACGTGACCACACACTCGGCTGTGCTACACGATGTGTAGATCACGATTCAGTCGGACGGCGGCCGACGCGTTAATTTTTATTTTCGTTCTGTCTTAAAATGTATGGACGGCTTTATTATGAGGTATTATAATACATGTCATACATTAAAATAATCGGCGGGATTTCAGGAATACAGCTCAAGGTTCAAATGTAAAATAGGTCAAATAATAGACCGGGAAACTTAGTTCAACTTTGCGGGCCGATATCTCCCGAAGTATTTAACTTATTTTGACCACGAACCTTGAGCGTTGTACGTCTACATTTAATCTGTTCGTCTGCCAAATTTGATTGTTGTAGTACGTAAACTCGATACGTCTATAAAAAAAATTGTAGCGCGTCATATTTAAAACACAGCGATTCGAAGCACAGCCGAGCGGTTCAGTCGGACAGCGGTCGGCGCGTCATGTTTTGATTTTCGGTCCACTTCAAAGTCTATAGACGTCCTTATTATAGGGCCTAATATGACATATCATACATATTAATAAACGTCGAGATTTCAGGAATACAGCTCAAGGTTCAAATTAAAAATCGGTTCATTAATAGCCCAAATAACTTAGTTCAACTTTGCCGTTCGATATCTCCAAAAGTATTTAACATATTTTCCCTAAGAACCTTGAGCGTTATACGTGAACATTTAATCTATTCTTCTACCAAGTTTCACTGTTGTAGTACGAAAACTCAAAGAGTCTATAGACTCTAAGTAACACCCCTCTTTTAAAAAGGTGAAAAAGCCTCCCCCCTAATCGGCACGTCGCCGCGGGGGGTAAAAAATGCGATTAAATCGGCGATTTCTTCAACGTCTGAAATAATACAGAAATCAAACTTATACAGTTAAAAAGGTTGTTCAATTACGAACAGAATGATGTATAACATGTTAACATAAACACAATAAAAGCATGCAAAAAACAGAGTTAAACATGCAGGGGGTAGGGAAAAGCCGATTTGTCCGATTTTCTCGGCAGCGGCATTGGCCTAGCTAGGCAAAGATCCTCTACTCAATTATGAGAATATGCTTATGACTTATTTCTGGATGATTATGACATGTAGCCTAGTAGATTTTCTTACTAGATTCTAAATCTAAAATTTAGGCTAGATTTCTAGATCTAGATCTCTACTCAATTTTCAATTTAAACATGACCACTGAGTGATCTTAAGATGGACATCAATATTAAATCCATTAGGAACTAATTTTGAAGTAGGCCTTAGGGTAAAGGAGGGCATTAAGAGCCGTGTGGTATTAGGCCCTAATCAACACCCCACCCCCACAAAACCCCCAATAACACTGCTAATCTACTTCTGAGGTAACAACCACTGCTGTTTTTTTGGTAACAGAGAAGCAGAGGATTCATTTTATGTAATTTATGACCCACTTGGTCCAATGGGGAGAGGATGAGACAGGATTTAATCCCACTGCTCTTTCCCTAAAATTTGTCATCTCCATAAAACCATTTTGTGAACTTTTTTTCCAAATAGACATAACTTGGGAAACTTTACTTTGTAATAAACCAAATCAGTTTTTCAAGCCCATTCTTTGTTCCTGTATTAGAGCATTGGTTGTTGTACAGTATAACACTATTTTTATAGCTATGGCTAGAATAGTTTTATTTTGGTGAATTTTTTTCGCACAGTGATTATTGGTGCCAAAACAAAATGGCCGACATTTGTCCCATTTTACCATGCTATAAAGTTTTTATCATTATCAGAGTAAAACTTGACTGATCATTACCATAATGGTTTTATTTGTTAGATAATAACTAAATCTACATGAATACATTAATTTTGTCCACTAGCTTGCCTGTTTAGAAAAGTTATAACAGATACTGTTATGTGGCTCTTGAAACCCTAAGTGCAAGTTTCTCATTTATTAGACCACTGGTATAGGAATAGTTAACACAAAATGTATTAATTCTTAAACAGACTTGTGTCTAAATGATAGAAATACAATTCTAACCTGCTAAAAAGTAAAAATTCAGCCATCTGATGTTAGCAAGGTAATTTTTAAAATGGTACACGTACTTATTACCCCTAAGGGTAACAGGAATAAATGCTCTTAGGTCTCAGCCAATCTGGGGTGGTATGTTATGTAATTTATGACCCTCATGGTCCAGCAGGGAAGTAAACAGACACATTAATACCACTGCTCCCCCCTTACAATTTCTTACCCCCATGATACCCAGCCCCCATCAGTTTCTGGCCCACTATAAAACTTCATCTCTTTGTAGGTAACATGGATTACACTTACAGATCTCAGACAATCTGGGGTGGCATATTATGTAATATATGACCTTCATGGTCTAGCAGGGTGGAGACCAAAGAGGAATCAGTACCACTGCTCTCCCCTCACAATTTCTCACCTCCATGATAGCCAGACCCCACCTGTATCTAACCCACCATAAAACTTCATCTCTTTGTAGGTAACATGGACTAAGTTCTTAGATCTCAGCCAACCAGAGATAGCATCTCCTTATGTAATTTATGGCCCTCAGGGTCCAGCAAGGAGAACAAAGGGGAAACCAGTACAACTGCTCTCCTCTCAACATTTCTCACCTCCATGTCATGTTATGTAATGTATAGCACACATGGCTTATCAGGGGAAAGCATTAAGGCAGATTAGTTAGTACCACCCCTTTTTACATACAAGAATGTTAACTCTGGACAGCTACACACTAGTATACTAGCTACACACTAGGCATACTAATGTGCCTACTGTAAACTACTAGACTTTAGGGCTTAGGCCCTATGTACACCTGCAATTGTATCAATTGTAGACTGGGCCCATTGGGGCCTAGTGATAGCTAGTATCAGTTAAAGTGTGTGTACACAACATTAACTATTTTGGGGTTAGAAATTAATTATTTTTATTGCGGAGTTAGTCTAAACTAGGAGATAATACATTGCCCGGCTCCTTTCACCCCAAATGCTGATTTTGGGGGTATGACAATAAATGTTCAATTAAACCCATTTAAAGTATATTTAATACACTTTGTTATTATTTTTATATTGTGTAAGATATGTTAGAATAATTTTGCCATATTTTCAATACTAAAAAATTCTTAGATTAGTAGAAATCTTTAGAAATGTACAGGTGCTAAAAAGTGTGGCTCTTAACGCCCTCCTTTACCCTACTGAATTACTTATTTTAATATTTATTGGCACACCTCTCCATGACAACACTTGTTATATCACTCAAAGGCAAAGGCAAACCACAAATCCGGTTCAAATTTTTAATTGGCTATACACCAGAGTTCCTCACCATTGAAAGACGGTTTAAATACTATAAATAGGCCTAAAGCAATTTAAAAATTCTTTAGTCTTTCTCTTCTGGTGTGTTCAAACTAAACTAGACATTAGAGTAGAGTTCAGTAGAGCATTGCAAAAGCTACAAATGAAGATAATTATTTTTAAAGTCTACTAGATATGGCATGGCATCTTAATTTGTAAATTTGAATTATTTGTTAATGGGTGGAGGCTTCTCATTCAGATTGATTAATAAAAACTGGCTGTTTATGCTGGAACTCAATATTTTAATATTACACTATAGAAAATAGATGCTCTTCCAATCTGGGCTAAGTTTTGATGTACCAGTGTCCAGCCATAAATCATGAATATAACAAGAACATGTCCTAACTGAGAATTATTTCAGTAGTTTTTACTGACTTAAATTTTGTTTTAAAAATCTTATCAAATTAAGTTTGCAGATATTTTAGATACTGATGTCCGATTGTAGACTTCCATAAAATAGGTGTTTTTTGGGTTGTTAGTATTGTAATCTTGACTAATTTTATGGTTAGAATTTGGGGTTAGGCACATGGTAGGCCTAGGGTTGGGGTTAGGGACAGGGTAAGCATTGACATTAGAAGCCATGTGTGTAATTAGTTAACTACCAGTAACCTCACACCCCTGTTTAGAGAAGATTCGATTATCGGACACTGGTATAAAACTTCCCCCAAGTTTGCCTAATTGTGACAATTAGGAAATTCTAACAGAAAGCAAGTTAAATTTTTTAAAACATTGGGTGGCATGTGACTTTGTCAGAGGTCTTATTTTTCTAGAATTATTGCACATCCGGAATCAAGGCCTAACTTTTGGTGTTTTGGTAACTTGTTAGTAATATACTTTGTAATGGAATAGGTTAATTTAAAGTTGAATACTTTAAGATAGACTATATATAGGTTATTTGAATTAACACAGTGTACTAGATTGCTTTGTAAAAATGTTATTGCATCTTATCAAATTAAAGGATATTTTTCTTTTCTTTTCAGGAACTGAAATGGGTGAGTATGCTTATTCATAGATAACAGCAAATACAGTGATGCTGTAATAGTACAATTCATTTTGTGGTAAGACTTATTGTCTTTGGGGCTACAGGAGAAGCTTGTAGGCATCTGAGAATGGTTGGGCCTAGGCTGTATAACATCTAATGTTGTGGCTATGGTTATTTGAATTGTACTTTTATAGTCCTTTATTATTTGCAGTATGTAATATTCTAAACTTTTTTTTAGTTAGCCTAATCTTTCTGGTTAGTTAAAATGGACTTATTTTTTTGTCAGGTTTGGATATTGTTTGCTGACCTTTCTTTTTAATTCTTAGCATATGCCTTTATTGACTTTGAAGACAGACGTGATGCTGAGGTAGGTTAACTGTAGAGTTATTATAATGCCTTATATAGTTATGTTTTAAATACATTATATTTCATCTGGTTAATATATTCTTTTTCATAAGTAATTTTATGTTCAATTTAGAAGAAAATTAAGACATTAACTTAAATTTGAAGCTACAAATGTATTTGCTTTTAATGCAGTAAGCATTTTCAGTATTAATATTTCTAATATTACACTTATTTCTAAATATTATGTGGATGAAAGTTTCAGTCTTTTTTATAAACCTTACTACAGAAATTTTAAGGTACAACTTCATCTTGCCATTAACATGAAAATGATTCATAAATCCATTGGTTTTTATTAGATCAACATTTTGATTTGTTGGAAGTGCATAGCATCCAGTACTACTCATGTGCCAATTCAACAACAATTTATTTTCTTAATTCATGCTTTCATCCACATAATTATATAATAATTAAGTAATAAAATAGACCAATCATATGATTATTGCCATATGACTGACAATACCGTTGTGTTTTTTCATCCGGTCAAGCAGTCCAGCCCTATGTACTCATAAGCCACGCTCTGTCGAGTTATGCCTTTCCTAGCCAACACTACCGTTGCAGACAGCATCTTTTCCTTCCCATACCACTGTGGGGGGGAGCCGAGTTGAGAGTGGTCCTTGTCCTAGCCACTGCCACCTTGCCTAGCCTAGCTTCATCTGCCTTTGTCAGAGTCTGCCAGTCAGTCACTACAAGTGCTACCTTGGTCAACTCACTTCTGCACAGTGACAGACCGCTGACATCATTTTTAACATAGTTTGTTTTTTATTACTTGTTGAAAACAACAGACTTAATTCTTATTTTATCTCAATTGAGTAAGTTTTAAAAAAAATTTAAAATTAACATTCTTTATACCTGCAAGTTTTTTATCAGTTTAAAGTGATCTGACAATACTTAATCACATTATTTACATTCTAAATTTATAAGCTCAGGGAATTATATTTTGAAACAACTTAGATAAAAAGTAGATGTTTCATAGGATATTAGTTAACAGTTACATGTATTTTTTTATTCATAGCTAGTCATTGTCAGACTAATTTGCAAACTAAATGAAAGATTCTACAAGAAGCCTTGTCTTGTTAGTCCCCCCACAAAGTCAAATCAGATTTGACTGCTGTAATTCACTTAGGATTGTAAAAGAAGCGAGCTGTTGGCTGATGCAACACACACATGGTGTCAACCTTTTCTTATGTGCCATCAACATACTCTGTGCCCAAGAAGGTTTTGCCTCAGTACAGCAGCACACACCAAAGCTGTTCCATAGTCTAGTGTAACCTGCCAGTCTGGAGTGATCTAAGCCTTGTAAGACAGACCAGCTACCTTGTTGGTTATCTGCTACAATCGCTAGCCTAAGTGACCCTGACCTACTTTGCTTTGTGTCCTTGGTGGCTGGGCTGTGACTAAAAATACAAGATTCCAAAGTGTTCGCCAGTATGTTTGTCTTTATAGTTGTCTTTTTTTTCATTGTCCTAAATATTTGTGTTTATTTTTTGACTAACTAATGGTGTAACACAGGCATAGTGTATTTATTGGGTTCATAGGTTTCTGTAATGTCTTTAAAATAATTGATGATAAGCAGGTAACTGATTTCAATGTTGAATTGTCTTTATAGATTTTGTAGACACAAGGAAAAAGCTAGTTTTTAAAAACACTTCAACATGTCTAGCGGATTTTCTTATATGGATATTTTTAAAAAAATTTACATGCATACTTTTTTTTTTAAGTATATTATTGGGCACAATGCTTAGCTTGGAAACTTGTCGTTTTAAGGTTGTTTTGATCTCTACATATACTGAAATGTCAGTTAATTTTTTCATTTTTGTCTTCTCGTGTTTGTATTTTTAGGGTTTAAAGTGTGGTAAATATTTAATAGAATTTTGATGTGTTTTGCGCGTTTTTGGTTAGTAAAAATATTTTAATAGGTAGATGACAAAAAGTTGTTTCCTTTTAGGATTGTGTGAAATATGAGCATGGCAGAGAACTCAATGGACAGAGCATTATTGTTGAGTGGGCCAAAGGTGGTAAAGATAGGAGAATGGTAAGTCTTTCATGAATGATCTTAAAAAGAAATTTTTAAAAATTTCAGACAGTCTGATTTTATTCAAATATTTGTTTCTTTTTATTTGTAGCCTGAAATGATTTGCCAAATTTCATAATTTTAGAAAAGGAATGATAACAACTCTTCACAAAGCTACGATGAGTGTTTTCGGTGTCGACGAACTGGTCACTGGGCACGAGACTGTCCTGAACTTCGATGGGGAGGACGTGGAGGTGGTAGAGGCGGCGGTGGTGGGGGAGGTGGAAGATGGAGGTCACCATCACCAAGGCGGAGGTACAGGTTAGACAGGCAAACTCAAGGAATTTATTCTTTCATTTGCTGTGTCTTTTTGGTTTCATATTTTGGTTTTTAGTTACTTTGTCCTTTAATCTACGCCAATCTTACAGGGCTTTATTTTTATTTCAGTAACAGATCTAGGTCAAGATCCCGTGACAGGAAACGCAAAAGCCGTAGCAGGTCCCGTGATCGTCGCAGACGTAGCAGATCTAATGACAAGAGAAGTAGAAGTCGATCTGGTGATAGAAAGAGTAGATCTCTCAGTGGTTCACAGAAATCTAGAAGTGCTTCTCCTGGAAGAAAAGACTCCAAAAGTACATCTAGAGATAGGAAGAAAAGTGGATCTAGAAGCAAATCCAGGTATAAGCAATGCAGACATTTTCTAATGTTTATTTTTAGTTAAAGCTTTTACTTTTTAAATATTTAACATTTTGTTGTTTTTGTTTTACAGATCTCGTTCTAGGACGCCACAGTCAAAATCAGGATCAAAGTCTAAAAGTAGGTCAAAAAGCCCCAGACAACCATCTGAAAATCACACAGAGCAACAGTCCAATGGGGCAGATGTTGTCGCAAATGTGGATGAAGAAGCCAGAGATGGAGGCGATGAAGGAAGAGCATCTCGGTCAAGGAGTGGCAGCAAGGATTAATGTTGTATTTTGTCGTTTTTCTAATGTAATGCTGTTATTGTGTTCTTAAAATAAATTCCATGTATGTGAATTTGTTTTTTTAATTTGCTATTAGTTTCTAGTAAATGTTCTGTTTATCTGCATGTTCTTGTTTTACTCTGTGATCAGAAGTTTTTTTAATATCTTATGGCAGATATTTTAACAATAAATTATTGGTGCTGCCATTCATAATTTATGCTTATGATTAGGGAAGACTTCTGATATACTTTATTGTTCATATGCATATATTTTTTTTTACTTTGATAATTATTGAAACCAGCCTCTTGAGAATAATATTAATAAATCTTTCTAAGTATCTTGTCTATTTCTTAAAATTGATTTCTATGCATTTAATTGAAATATACATTTTGCATAGGCATTAGAACTTTTTTTTGTATAGTTCTAAAAAATAGTGTGTGTCTGGATTGAGCATGAATGTGAACACCAGAAAGTGGAGCATCCTTCCTGAAATGTCCTATGACCAATATTTAATATATAGGGCCATATGTTTATTTGGCCCATAAGGCAAGTTGATTGTCAATTCTCACTAATATTGGGAAGTTCTGGCTTAGGTAACTAGTGGAGATTCAACAAGCTTTCTGTGGTTAAGTTCTCTGGCAACTGCTGAAATGAGGGAATTGTTAAGTTTAGGAAACCTTGTTTCATTTTGAGGCCATTAAAGATGTTTTTATTGTATTGCTTTGTTGGTGTAAATTATTAGAATTAACAACAAAATGTATGTTGCTCACATATTTTATTATACATTTTCAGACTTCAAACAATAATAATAAAAATCCTCATTACTCCAATTTGGTGTCTCACTATACAAAAAAAAAACCAATGAAGCTTGTTTTTATTTTTATGTTCAAATGTAATTACCCTAGTCCACTAATTGAGGCATGATTTATTGATACAGACTTAAGAATGGAATACTGGAACAAAATTTTCATCATGCTTCACACAAATGCACAATAAAACATACCTTATGTACAATTTTATCACACGGGGCATTCATAAAGTTATCATTGGTTTGCACATAAATGAGCAAAGTGCATGTACATCTACAAAGGAACTAGAGGTAAATTTGATTTTACTCATGGCAGCAGTCCACAACATAATCTCAAATATTTTAAAGTCCGCTAATCAACTAGTGTTTGTGAATACATCAATTATGTCAATTGTTTTAATTGAAAAGCAGCTTTCATCTTATTAAAATCAATTTATGGGTTTGCATAAAATTTCAGATAACTAAAAAAATTCAGCTCAGACTATTTTATGATTCTAGATGGCAAGATGAGTCCACCCAACTCACTTAAGGGAAAGTAAAGGCGGCTGGGCATAGTGATGACCACACTATCCCTTCATATGCCGAGGTCACATAAACAAGTGAACTCTACTTCATTTGCCCTATAGACCGTTAGGTTTGAAAAGGGAACTTTACTTTTAGATGGCAAGATAGAATTTAACAAATATAATTATAATTAGTGGTTCATTAACAACAAAATATCTGACACTACAAAAATTGTAAACTGAATCTATTCATTGAAATTATGATAAAACATCTAAATTTTATTTCTTTTTAGAAGTAATAGAACTACATTATTAACCATATGCATAACTACAGTGCATAAGTTAGGCCTATTTAAATAAAAACTACAATGATCAGTTTATAATAATAATGACCAACCAACATCTGCAGAAGTAATTTTACAGTAGGAACAGAATAGCACCATTCCCTCCTAGCAAAACCATACTAGTACTGCATTTAGAATGGTTGATTTTACAGTGTGAACAGATAAGCACCATTGAATGATGAAACAAACCAAGTGTTTTAACACAGTAATTTGTAGCCATTTAGTAATGTGATTATTGAAGTTAAAAACAAATATTACAAAAAGTTGAAATATTTCTTTTGGCTTCGGTAACACAAAAATTTGTTGTACATTGAGTGGGGTTAAGTTTATACAAAACAAGTAGTTGTTCTTTTGAGCAAAAAACTCAAGTATACTTTAGTAAGCAGGGGTAAAATAATTTTTTTTGATGTTTTCGTCACTTGATGTGGACTGTCAATTTAAATAGTCAATAATAAGTTTCTACACCAATTTAAAATGGTCCTTCTTGGCATATGAATGATTTTGTTTGGCCACATTTATAAAAACTTAGGAAAACTATAATTGCTAGAGAAAGACCAAAGCAATAATATTCACAACTTTAAAAATGAATTAAAAAATATTAAGAGATCAAGCCGAATAAATAAAATAATAGTAGGCCTACTGAGCCAAATTGAATTTAAAAAATACAGCTGAGAGGGCAGTTTCCTGAAGGATGCTCCAGAAGGATGCCTCTGACGCTACTCAGATCACTACTACCTTTATAGCTCAAAAAGCAAGAGTTTCATAGAATTTCGGAATGCAACATAAAAACTTGAGGAACACTCATGGAGGAAAGAAAAGTTTTTAAATTATTAAAAAGTTTGAGCAAAACAAAAATATTTATACAAAAATTAAGGCAATACTAACGCAAAATAAAAGCAGCAACAGGATATTGGGGAGGGGGGGGGGGGGGGGGAGAAATCATAAACTGTGGAATAGATAAAGGAACAATTGTTTTCTTCTAATGGGGTGGAGGATAAAGAAAAAACTAGCTATGCCGCTAACCATTAAATCAGTGTCAAATAAGAATGTATAAATATGATTGTGTAAATTTCATAACATTGGCACATTGCACTTTTAAAAAGAATAAATGAATGTGTAGATATAAATATATATTATGTATATAATAAATTTTTTTAAAAAGATATTATAATAAAGAATTTATGTAATCACAATACCTTATGTACATTGAGTAAAGAATTCTTAAATTAGAATTAACAACAATTATGCTGGAAACGAACAGAAATAATTGAAAATATTGTTTGTTTTCTCTGATGTCTTTAACTTTTATTCATAATTTCCAGTAGTAAGTAATCAAAATCAAAGCACTGAAATCTACTGCCTTTGATATCAAGCAGAATCAATGAAACAAAGTTAGACAGAACATGTTTTTCCTCTGATTTTAATAAATCTGTACTTATTACTTGGATAAATACACCATATTCAACAATAGCATTTAAATATGTAGGGAGTGGATAGAAATAAAATTAAATTATATGTCCAGTTGTGTGGCGATCATTTGTTTTAATGTAAACCTAACCCCCCCCCCCCCCGACAATGGTACAGATGATCTTAATGTAAAGAAAATAATAATCATCAACAATAGCTTGATATGAGATGAGAAGAAATTCTTCTAGAGATCTACATGTCTATTTTTGCAGATATTATACAAGAGAAAAACAAAATGGATGCTCAGACATTCAATTGTGAACATTATCTGTACATAAATATAATACTTGGATTTCATGGACATATATATATATATATATATGTATATTTAAAATAGGATATATGATTTTTATATATAGTTATTCAACCTGATATGATCACAGGACAAAAACAGTGTTAAGGAAAATTATGAAAAAAATCTGCCATATGTACAATTCAAGATTCTTTAAGTCACAGATATGTCCAATTTAATTTGAGAATGTATTTAGTTAAGCAGAATGATTTTTAAATTTGAACAATAAATAAATGAAGAATATGTACAGCTAAACAACTTTAGATCTGGCTCTCTGCTTGCGTTCGGATGCTAACAGCTCCTCCTGGAGCAGCTGTAGTGTCTGTAATAAAGATTCCTTTTCTTTGGACACGGTCAACAGGTCGTCCTCAAGCTGGGTGACCAGCTGCTGGAGGCGGAGGTTCTCACGCTCTAGCTCGTCCCTCGCAGGGTCAACCTCATCCCTGACCGACCTTGCTTGACCTGCATGGTCTAGATGGGACAGAGAGACCGGGCTGCTGGAGAGGGAATCCGCGGTGAAGCTCTGACGTTTACGGAGGGTGTTGACACCTGGCCCACCTCGGCCCCCCATACCTGGCCTTCCCCCTGCCGCCTGGTCCTGCATGTCCCTCCACTGCAGTATTTGGTGCTCGTAAAGCCGGTTGGCCCGTCGTACTTCCTCCAACTGGCGTCTTAAAAGTACAGTTTCGTTTTGGCTAGCCATGAGCAGTCCCATAGTTCCATCAGGGCTCATGATAGGGGAGGTAAGTGTGTTGATGAGTTCAGGCCGAGGGGCAGGGGGAGGTGGTGTTGGTACTAGGCTGGGACTATTTTGACTACCTGAAAATTACAGACGAAAATTGTTTAATGATGATAACAGACAAGAATCTTAAATTAGGCATAATACAGTGCATTTCAAATTTTGAATAAGATTATAATTGACTACTTTTTCACTCAAAATAGGAGTTAATTTCATTAACAATTTCAAACAATCCGGTTTTAAAATTACCAACCTGCTATATAAAAAATACCATCTTTTCCTCTTTCAATGGACATTTGTTGAATGTGAAGGTTAGTTGGTATAGATCCTGGGGATGTTACATTAGCTGGAGGGCGATCTTCCTAGCAACAGAAACAACAATACATTTTTATAAAAAAATTGACCAGCTTATATTCTTTAATGAGACAACTAAGAGTGAAGTCATAGGTATATATACAAGAAATATTTGTTTATTGTGTACTAAGTTCTTTTAGTTTTAAATCATGTGCTTTAAGTCACATTTTTCATATAATTCACTTGTCTGAACATCAAAGAAACAAATTACTTGCATTTCAAGCTAAGATAATTGTCTGTAAAGCTAGATATAGAGAAAAGACTAGGTTAAGCAATGGCTCTATGAATGGGTTAGCAATAAGTATAATGACTCAAATGGTCTTGAGTTTAGTTCATACACTTTTGTAGGATGTATCTCAGTCCACCAATCTGTAATGGGTACCTCACTGGTTTAGTTAAAGAGGCTGGACTTAATGCTTTATTATAATCTTTTTCTATTCATGCCCAAGTCTCATGGTGCAGATGAAGTAGAGTTCATATGTTTCAATGACCAAAGCGTACAGGGGGATAGTGTGATAAGAAAGAAGACAAAACAAAGTCAGCATGAGCCCACCTCTAGTATCAACAACAAGTTCCTTATATCAAGATAAGAAAGAAGACCAAACAAAGTATGAGCCCACCTCTAGTATCAACAACAGGTTCCTTATATCAAGATAAGAAAGAAGACCAAACAAAGTATGAGCCCACCTCTAATATCAACAACATGTTCCTTATATCAAGGTAAGAAAGAAGACAAAACAAAGTTAGCATGTGCCCACCTCTAGTATCAGCAACAAGTTCCTTATATCAAGATAAGAAAGAAGACAAAACAAAGTTAGCAGGTGCCCACCTCTAGTATCAACAACAAGTTCCTTATATCAAGATAAGAAAGAAGACCAAACAAAGTTAGCATGTGCCCACCTCTAGTATCAACAACAGGTTCCTTATATCAAGATAAGAAAGAAGACAAAGTTAGCATGTGCCCACCTCTAGTATCAACAACATGTTCCTTATATCAAGATAAGAAAGAAGACAAAGTTAGCATGTGCCCACCTCTAGTATCAACAACATGTTCCTTATATCAAGATAAGAAAGAAGACAAAGTTAGCATGTGCCCACCTCTAGTATCAACATGTTCCTTATATCAAGATAAGAAAGAAGACAAAGTTAGCATGTGCCCACCTCTAGTATCAACAACATGTTCCTTATATCAAGATAAGAAAGAAGACAAAGTTAGCATGTGCCCACCTCTAGTATCAACATGTTCCTTATATCAAGATAAGAAAGAAGACAAAGTTAGCATGTGCCCACCTCTAGTATCAACAACAAGTTCCTTATATCAAGATAAGAAAGAAGACCAAACAAAGTTAGCATGTGCCCACCTCTAGTATCAACAACAGGTTCCTTATATCAAGATAAGAAAGAAGACAAAGTTAGCATGTGCCCACCTCTAGTATCAACAACAGGTTCCTTATATCAAGATAAGAAAGAAGACAAAGTTAGCATGTGCCCACCTCTAGTATCAACAACATGTTCCTTATATCAAGATAAGAAAGAAGACAAAGTTAGCATGTGCCCACCTCTAGTATCAACATGTTCCTTATATCAAGATAAGAAAGAAGACAAAGTTAGCATGTGCCCACCTCTAGTATCAACAACATGTTTCTTATATCAAGATAAGAAAGAAGACAAAGTTAGCATGTGCCCACCTCTAGTATCAACATGTTCCTTATATCAAGATAAGAAAGAAGACCAAACAAAGTTAGCATGTGCCCACCTCTAGTATCAACAACAGGTTCCTTATATCAAGATAAGAAAGAAGACAAAGTTAGCATGTGCCCACCTCTAGTATCAACAACATGTTCCTTATATCAAGATAAGAAAGAAGACAAAGTTAGCATGTGCCCACCTCTAGTATCAACATGTTCCTTATATCAAGATAAGAAAGAAGACAAAGTTAGCATGTGCCCACCTCTAGTATCAACAACATGTTCCTTATATCAAGATAAGAAAGAAGACAAAGATAGCATGTGCCCACCTCTAGTATCAGCAACAGGTTCCTTATATCAAGATAAGAAAGAAGACAAAGTTAGCATGTGCCCACCTCTAGTATCAGCAACAGGTTCCTTATATCAAGAGACATGGGGAAAGCTTCCGGCAGTTTTTCATCCTCAGAGAAATCAGACAGGCAGGTCAAGGCAGACATTTTAAACTGCAAGCTGAAATTCTCCGCCCTGACCAACAGCTTGCCACTGTCTGCACACACTCTAGATGGGTCAGACTGGGATGTAAACTTTAATTTGATTGGATATTTTGGGGGTTGGGTGTCTGCTACATCTTCCTGGAAATAACCTGGAACAAGATTTTATTGTATAATTAGAACAGCACTATTGACTCAAGATTCAAACCAGAAAGGTAAAAACTAAAGATATAAAATAACTATCTAAATGTAGTGCAGTTTTGTGTGTGTAGTTAAAAAAGATAGAAGTTCTCATATCCTGAGAATCTTTAAAATAAAATTATGTATTCAGTTATTAACAAAAACAGTTGCTGGAATACTAATACATTACTCTCTATTTATTAAAATTCCCTGTTTTAATGCACAATATTTGTAGGTAATGCAATCCAAAGAATTTGCTAAATAACTAAAATAAAATAAAATATAAAACCAGTATGCTAACAAATAATATTTTAAAACTTAAAAAAAAAAGAATCTAAAATTGCATTTTAAAACAATAAGACATGGTTTAAATATTAAAGCTTTTTTTTTTTTCAAAATTTAAAATATCTTTCTCGTAGGCCTACTCACCTTTGGGTGTAGAAAACCTGGTCTGAAAATCTTCATATGAAATGTTTCCCAGCTGAATAGAATTTAATTTGGCTAGCTGCACCTTACTGTCTGCCTGTTCTGGACAACTTTGAAGTAAAATCTCTGTGGTGTCAAGTTTAAATAGAACTACATACACCTGCAGATGGTTGGGATCTTCAGTTAAACAAATATTTTAATACAGTGCATGATCCATGTCTTTCATTAAACATGTACATTACATTTCTAAGTAAATTTAAAAACTGAGTAGAACTCAATATATTTGGTACTCTACATTTTCCTAGACCTGGTATACAATTAATATTCCACCTTAAGTCTAACTTAACACAAACCTAGCATTAATCATAACACTATATCTAATAGAAACCTCAGCCTTAATCTCTAGGGCTCAATTTTTTTTATGTATCATCAATATGACAGGAAGATTTTAAAATATTTTTTTTTTTTATATTTCTAAGAGGACACTTTTTATTTAACTCTAAAACCAATTTTTTAAGAAACTGATTGCGCTAAATAACAAAGAGATAATGTATATGTAAAATATATTTCAATGGAAACTTATTAAAAAAATAATAAGGAAGTAAACATGGAGGTCACAGATTTACCATTTCTTTTCCTTTAGTGGTGGAGCTTTCAGCATACATACTAGCAGAGTCAGCAATATCCCCCGCGTCACTGTAGTTATCCCCTCCTGTCTGGGTGACTTCAGGAGGAGGTTGGTCATGAAAGAACGCTGGAACTTCATCTGCTTCATCTAGTGACATGTGCTCAAAGTCATCATCCGATGTATCCGTGCGGATTGACATAGTCTCTACGTCATCCCCCACCCCATGAATATCATCCCCCTTAGGTTTGAAGTTGGCAGTGAAACTGGAGAAGGCTGAAGAGAAAACTTTGCCTACATTGCTTCCTGTGTTGACCTTTGACTGTGGGCGTTGTGACTTGCGTTCAATACCTAAAAAATGTTTTAGCAGGGTTATATTTCATGTTTCTTATGGTAAAATGATAAATTCATTCCTTGCCTAAAGCAACAAAATAAAGTCTTCTATCAATCAAGTTAAAATTTAGGTCACTGTTTCTTTATCAAATAATAATGACAAGTCTACAATGTCTGCTATGCATGAAATGATAAGCCCACATCTTTTGAGCTGGGTATGTAAAGAGTTAAACACATTTACCTATGCCTGAGTCTTTGCCTATTGAGCTAAGGGACTGTGACATGACATCTGTCTGGTCCTTGTTTTTACTGGAGAAGGGGTTGCTTGTAACTGGCACTATAACGCCACTAGGGGGTTGGATGTTGTTACTGCCCACCACCAGCCCACGGGCGCGCAGGTTGACATCAGCAGGTGGTCCCAGGTGTGCCATGTTCTCTAGCTGGCTGCTGGAGTTGGACTTGAAGGAGATGGTCTGCTGGAAGGGTCTGAGGGAGGAGTCGTCCCTGCTCCTGAGACCTGGAAGTCCACAGGTAGTGTCAGGGCAGCATAAAAGTGCTCAGAGGGTCAGAGTAATTGTAGGATTCTTAAAGGGTCAGATGGTGAGTAATTATAAAATTCTTAGATGGTCAGAGAAATTGTAGGATTCTTAGCGGGTCAGAGTAAATATATAATTCTTAGAGGGTCAGATGGTGAGTAATTAATTCTTAGATGGTCAGAGTAATTATAGAATTCTCAGATGGTCAGAGTAATTATAGAATTCTTAGATGGTCAGAGTAGTTATAGAATTCTTAGAGGGTCAGATGGTGAGTAATTGTATAATTCTTAGATGGTCAGAGTAATTATAGAATTCTTAGATGGTCAGAGTAATTGTAGAATTCTTAGATGGTCAGAGTAATTATAGAATTCTTAGAGGGTCAGAGGGTAATAATTATAGAATTACTAGCCGTCCCGGCCAGGCCCTGCTCTGGCTTCTGTGAAAAACCTTTCTGTTAAAGACCATTACCTGTGTGTTTAGTAATCATCATAAACCCGGCATTGCCCACCCAAACCACAACCAACCAAAACAACAAAACGCAAACATAACGCTAACACAATTACAAATAAAAACGAAAACAAAAACCTAACAACAAACCCAACCACAACCACAAACACCAATACAAACACAAAGAAAAAACAAACAAAAAAGCAAACGAAAACAAAAACCTAACAACAAACCCAACCACAAACACCAATACCAACAAAAAAAAAACAAAACAACGAAAAAGCAAACGAAAACAAACCAAATCCAAACGCAAAACCAACCAAAAACACAAATACAAACCCAAAGAAAAAAACACAAACAAAAACGAAAAAAGAAAGAACAAAAACGAACCAAATCAAAACGCAACCACTAACGCAAACCCACTTAAACACAAAGAAAACACTAACGCGAACATAAACGCCCGGGGCGGAATCACCTGTTTTAGCTTAATGAACGACGATAGTACCCCAACTTATTCATAGTCTTTTGCACTCACTTAAACGAACGCGCCTGTTTCAATTTGATGAACAATTATAATACTCCAAGCTTATCCGTAAAATACCTACAACATTTGCACTTGATCAATCCCCGCTAATTATGTAATTATTTTTTTTCCCAACACCAAAACAAAGTAATTAAAAAGTAAATTATTTTCGACTAATGCAATGGTTTTATAAAGGGAAGTAATTTTGTTTTCCTAATTTATCAAAGGGAAGTAAGTGCTATAGGACTAAATAAAGACATAATTAGAATTTTTGTAAAAGATGATATTTTTTTAAAACTTGTGTTTAATGAACATGCCGACAATTATTACTATAATTTGAAAAATGAAAATTATTTCCCAACACTTTCAATAGTAATTTTTTAGCTCATAAATTTAGACAAATGCGCACGATAATTTTCTAACACTTAAATTCATACAATTCCAACGACAAACATATGCATTACATACAGAACTGAGCTTTATATATTAGACTAGCCGTCCCGGCCAGGCCCTGCTCTGGCTTCTGTGAAAAACCTTTCCGTTAAAGACCATTACCTGTGTGTTTAGAAATCATCATAAACCCGGCATTGCCCACCCAAACCACAACCAACCAAAACAACAAAACGCAAACATAACGCTAACACAATTAGAAATACAAACGAAAACAAAAACCTAACAACAAACCCAACCACAACCACAAACACCAATACAAACACAAAGAAAAAACAAACGAAAACAAAAACCTAACAACAAACCCAACCACAAACACCAATACCAAAAAAAAAACGACGAAAAAGCAAACGAAAACAAACCAAATCCAAACGCAAAACCAACCAAAAACACAAATACAAACCCAAACAAAAAAAAACACAAACAAAAACGAAAAAAGAAAGAACAAAAACGAACCAAATCAAAACGCAACCACTAACGCAAACCCACCTAAACACAAAGAAAACACTAACGCGAACATAAACGCCCGGGGCAGAATCGCCTGTTTTAGCTTAATAAACGACTATAGTACCCCAACTTATTCATAGTTTTTGCACTCACTTAAACGAACGCGCCTGTTTCAATTTAATGAACAATTATAATACTCCAAGCTTATCCGTAAAATACCTAAAACATTTGCACTTGATCAATCCCCGCTAATTATGTAATTATTTTTTTCCCAACACCAAAACAAAGTAATTAAAAAGTAAATGCTTTGCAACTAATGCTATGGTTTTATAAAGGGAAGTAATTGTGTTTTGCCTAATTTATCAAAGGGAAGTAAGCGCTATAGGACTAAATAAAAACATAATTAGAATTTTTGTAAAAGATGATATTTTTTTAAAACTTGTGTTTAATGAACATGCAGACAATTATTACTATAATTTGAAAAATGAAAATGATTTCCCAACACTTTTAATAGTAATTTTTTAACGCATAAATATAGACAACTGCGCACGATAATTGATCTAACACTTAAATCCGTAGAAATGCCAACGACAAACATATGCGTTACAGAATTGAGCTTTATATATTAGATTTACAGCACAGCATGGTTGAGCACACAACAGCTAACACAAAAGACTAGTACTGGTGCTCATATCAAGATATTATGGTTCCACCCAACTCTGATGGTCGGGGCACATAAAGGCAGCTTGGCATGATGCTGACCACATATACCCTCGATATGCAGAAGGTTAAGAAACAGATGAACTCTAGACCCCATGCTATATAGACCATCAGTTCTGTAGAAATCTATAGGCTCCTATTTATATTTTATATTTACCAGTAAAACTATAAAAAGGTAAATGCTAAGCATTTTGTGAACAATTAGCAATTTTTAAAACACCTTTCCCAAAACATGATTTACTGTTCTTCACCACCTGCCATGTGAAGATTTGAACTTTGACCTACCTTTTGTATCAACAAGCTGTGGGAAACAGGTACCATCCCCATCATCACCAAACACAGCATCTTGTCCAGTGAAGCCTTGCAGGAAAGGGGAGATGACACTGAAGTCATCAGAAAAAGTTCTTTGGTGCATCTGGTAGGGGCAGACCACTGCAAACTCAAGCTCCTTCAGAATCAAGGGGATAACAGTAACTGATGGAGGCTCCTTCACAGGGGCTTTTTTAAAGTTCTTCTTTGAGGTAGATGTGTTGGAAGCTACTGATAACAGATTAGCAGACAGATCATTCTGGAAGGCAGAAAATGACTCAGACACCCTGAGCAGGAACAGGTACTGGAAATGGTTCAGCTGTACCCGCAGTTTGCCGTGGATCTTGGTCAGGAGACACAGGTGCTTCTCTGGGAGGGGGGCCTGCTGGGAGCAGTGTTCACAGATCTTGTCGTCCTGAGCCTTGCACCCCTCTGGTGGCAGCCTCTTGCAGGTCTCTGGAGGGAGGGTGCATTTCATCAGGGTGGCGTCCACCTGCTCGTTCAGCATGTTCTGGGTTACCTCTAGAGCATTCATGTCCTGGGAACTCTGGGAGGTCGGACTAAACCTGTCGTTGTCACAGTCTGCGTCATTGTGCCGCGACCTAGGGGAGTCACTTAACCATGACCTGGGTTCAGGGTTATCGTGGTTGTACTTGAACCTTTGGTTGTCCCCATCCTCCACCCTCTCATGTTTCTGCCTGGGGTCAGCAGGCTCCACCCCCCTGCGTCTGTGCCTGGTGTCCTCACTCATCCCACCATCCCTGTCCAGAGGAAAACCTTTCTGGTTCAAAGGGAAGCCATCCATTATATCTCTAGTCTTTGATCGAATGGGTGACCTCTCATAAACATGAGCCTCCAACATCTCATGTCTTCTGTCTGTTGATTCTCTACTCCCATCTCGTGGGTCTCTAGATGACCTCCGACCCCGGTTGTCTCTGGGTGACCTCTCTGCCCGGGGAGAAACTCTCTCTTCGTTGTACCTCTCCCTGGGCGAATGCTTCTCTATATCTTGCCTGTCAAAGTTACGACTCTCCCGGCTGGCAGATCTTTGAAACCTTCTCTCACGTGACCTCCCTGACCCCACAGGACCCCATTCTGAACTGCTGCTACTGCTGTGTCGTGACCTGCGCAAGTTTGACACCTCATCATCCCTTCCTTTGGGCTTGGCCCTGTCATCAGTGTAGTAGTAATCTTCCACCTTTTTACTGTCCCGAACACTCTTTCTCTCATCTGTACTCCTGAAAGAATCCGAGCTGACCTGACCTTCAGCACTTGACCTCCCGTCTGCCTCTCTGTTCTTCTTGCCTCCCCCTCCACCACCACCTCCCTCTATACTAGAACTACTACTGTGTCTAATTCTTCTCTCCTTTGACCTCCTCTCTCTTGACTCCTCCCTCCTCCTACCTCCAACCTCCCCATGCCCCAACGGCGGACTAGAACTAGATCTAGAACAATCCTTCTGCTTGTCCTGCCTCTGTCGGGTCTGCTGATAGCTGACATCAGCCTCAGGTCTGTACACGCCTGGGTACTGCTCCACCTTCTTGCCCCGCCTCCTGTCCCCATTGTGAGGGTCACTGACCTCATGTGAGAACATCTCCCTGAGGGTGGTGTCGGACTTTGTGCTGAAAGAGTGGGGGGAGCTGGACAAATCAGCAGAGTCACTTTCATGCAGGGACTCTGTCCTGTTCAACTTTTTACTATGCCTGGATCCGTTACTGTAATGGGGGATACCGGATAATGAAAGACGTGTGGGGTGCCTGTCTGGTTCATGGTGGGAATGAACAGAACTGTTTCCATCATGGTCTTGGTGCCGGTGGTCACTATGGTCAAACCTGCTGAGTTTCTCACTGGATGGGGATGTGTGTCTGCTGTCCAGGCTGGACTCACAGTCAATAGGACTGTCCTTGTTATCACAGGTTGTGCTGGAGAATGCTGAAGGACCAACCGTGGCCGCCTTATTGCCTGGGCTGCACTGTTCCCTTATGGCAGTGCATGCAACAGTCTGGCTGTTTCTATGACAGCGGCAAACACTTAGCTGAGTGACGCCATTTTGATCATGTTTTTTGCTAGACCGGCTAAGCCAGAAGGTCACGGGTATGGCTTCAACAAAAGGGGCGGGTCGGTTTTTATAGTTCTGGATGCCGAGAAACTCCAGCCAGACCTGGTCAGCAGTGGCTGACCACACGTCAGATGAGGCTAGACGCTTCAAGCTGTTGCAGCTAAGTTTGTGGTAGGGGAGGTGGCGCGGGTGTTCCAGCAAGTTTGCTTCTGTAGGGGAGAGCTTTGTGGTGTCCACACTGTGGCTCAGCAGCTGCTTCACGGCTGTGGACGGAGTATATTACACATTGATCATTGAGGTATGCAAGTGTTGTGCATTCACTACATCAAATATACATCATTTGAGGTATGCAATTGTTAATTCATTAGATAATAAACTGCTCATTTAAGCATCAATCATAACTTGAGAAAGAAGGTACAAGAAGAGTATTCTCTTAAAATGTTGCGCCTACATATTAAACTGCTGCTTCCTTCCCCACACCAATACTCTCTCCACACCCCTTTGATACAACACACTATCCCTTACACAAACTCAATGTAATACAAAATCCTTTACACACTGATTATGTGCATGATTCATTACTGAAAATGAAGAGGAAAGGGCAAAAAAAGATTCTTTAATGGCCTATTTTGAATTTTATAGTCAAATTTTGATTTTAATGCCAGTAACAGTTATTTGTTGTATTACTTATTTAATAATATTTTCCACTTATATTATTTTGTTTGAAAATAATTAGTTTCAGGAAGTAAATATAGCAAATAGTATAATGTATTCCCTACCAAAAGTTGAAGTTGTCCACCTTACTTTCCCAAATAAGTTGCATCAGTCACAAACTATGACTCCGTGTCAATAAGCCACACCGCTAGACATTTTTATCTATATAAAGGTGACTAGTTAATTTGCTTAAAACTAAAACGTAACCCCCATTGAACTGTATCATACCCCAAGCTCCCTGCTCCTACCTTTATCTATGTATGGATCATCTGTGTCCAGAGCGTGATCTAACAACCCTGTAACCAGCAGGTCATGGTTCAACTGGCTGTCATCATTGGGGAAGTCTGTCTGTGTGAAGAGCCTGGCTGACTTGTACTGGTCCAGCAGTGACCTCAGGTCCTCCCTGCCCATCTTGTCCTCCATCCTGCAGTTGCTGACCACCAGTTGGGAGATCTGGAGCTGGACAGCGTCAGGCCGGTCAGGCTGGCTGTCAATCTTTTCTTCAGCAGGTAAAATTATCTGTAGATACAAAGTATCTGTGGACTAGGGGGTTTGTTAAAACAGGAAGATCAGCTGTTTCAAACATTTTATCACTGCACTTCCATGAAGGAAAACCACTCCTTAGTCCCTTCCCCTGATATATTCCTACCCATCCACCCACACAAGCAGCTACATACCAACATGTTTAACTACACCACTTCCCTTTTGTTGTCATCTGAGTTTGGGGTCTATCCACTACACAACACTTACTAAGACAAAGTGAAATGACCAACAATACTTCAATACTTTTATTCGGCCTCAATTCTTTACACATAACAGAGCAGCCCTCGTCCTAGCCGCTACCAACTAACCGCTGACTTTCCACAATCGTTCACTCGTTCTTTTATACCCGCATTTGACAATACATAAACACACCGGGGTTACTACACAGTAGGGTGAACTCAACTCACACACGCACTCCCCCCTAAGTTCGGGACTATTCTACCCTGACCTCAAATGACACGTAACAGCAGTTATCAAGAAACTGATTTACATACCCTCGGCATAAGCATTTGAACTTTGATATCGACATGCTCTGATGGTTTTTCATTACTAGCTTCTGTTTTCTGAGAAAAGAAAATATACAGAATGTCACTAAGCATAATGTTTATTAAAAGCTCAAGTCTACAGTAATGACCAGAATTCTGTCCTTAGACTACAATAAGTAAGAGATTTTACAAAAAACAATTATAAAATAATTTTCAAACTGTTAAAAAAGGTTTTTAAAATATTAAGTTTTTAAAGTTGACTGGGTTTAGTTAGTTAATGAGCTAGTTATTAAGCTATTTAAACTAAAAGGAATTAAAACTTACTAATGAATTGGAAAGGGTGAGTAAAAATACATTGGACCATAGCAGTGTTAGGAAATCCAGAGTGATGCGTATAGGGTTAACCATAACATACATGTTGGAGTGCGGAACTGGAAGAAAAACATTTGAATAGGGTTAACCATAACATACATGTTGGAGTAAAGGACTGAAAGAAAAAAAAAACATTTGAATAGGGTTAACCATAACATACATGTTGGAGTAAAGGACTGAAAGAAAAAAAACATTTGAATAGGGTTAACCATAACATACATGTTGGAGTAAAGGACTGAAAGAAAAAAAACATTTGAATAGGGTTAACCATAACATACATGTTGGAGTAAAGGACTGAAAGAAAAAAAACATTTGAATAGGGTTAACCATAACATACATGTTGGAGTAAAGGACTGAAAGAAAAAAAAACATTTGAATAGGGTTAACCATAACATACATGTTGGAGTAAAGGACTGAAAGAAAAAAAAACATTTGAATAGGGTTAGTTATAACATACATGTTGGAGTAAAGGACTGAAAGAAAAAAAAAACATTTGAATAGGGTTAACCATAACATACATGTTGGAGTAAAGGACTGAAAGAAAACAAACATTTGAATAAGGTTAGTTATAACATACATGTTGAAGTGAAGAAATAATTCCACAATATTTTAAACTACTCCATGCCTTTATACTCATGTAGCCACCAAAATATTTCCAAACCAAATCTAAACCTAACCTAAGTTATTATCAAGTGAAGTCAGCTGCTGCCATAAAAGTGTATGTGGGAACTGGTGGACTGGAGGGAAATAGTTTACTAAGTTTTAGTTGAACTTTGGAACATTTTTGTTACCAGTGTGCAACAATAGACTCCTATGAAAATAGGTGTGTTAGGCTGTTGGTAATATAGTGATATCATGTTTCATGTTAGGGTCAGAGATTAGTGCTAGGGCCATGGTAGGACTAGGGCTAGGGTTATTGTTGACATTCACAAATTATATCAGTATTTAGTCTACTACCAATAGCTGACACCCCTATTTTTAAAAAAAATTCAATTTTAGTGGCATTATCTAACATGAGTAAAACACTCAGCCCTGAAACTTTATTAACACTTATGTGATTGTATAGCATAATATATTTTGTCTAACATGAAACTGGAGCAGATAAAAGACAAGAAATGAGAAGAAACTAATGGCATTGATCTCTGGCTGTGTTATCTGTTGACTCTGTAGTGTCTCAAGTATACTTCATGTATTGTTACTTTATTGTTACTTATGTGATTGTATAATACATTTTGACTAACATAAACTGGAGCAGATAAAAGACAAGAAATGAGAAGAAACTAATGGCATTGATCTCTGGCTGTGTTATCAGCTGGCCAGCCTGGTGTTGATTCTGTAGTGTCTCAAGTATACTTCATGTAACAAGACCAAGAGAAAGGAAAGAAGGAATGCTCTCAGGTGATTTATTGCTGGCCATTTGGAGAAGCTGATAAGACAGCACACAGTGAGCAGGCTGTTCAAACTACCAGCAGTAGTGATGGGTTTTGTTTTGGTTTCCATAGCACACACTGAACAGGATGCTCAAACTACCAGCAGTATTGATGGGTTTTGTTTTGGTTTCTATAATACACACTGAACAGGATGTTCAGACTACCAGCTGCCTTGCTGATGTGTTTTATTTTCTCCAGTTTGAATACAGAGCTATGACACACAGTGAGCAATATTCTTAAATTTCCAGAATGTGTGATGATGCATTTTGATTTGGTTTCTACAGCTTTAATCAACCTTGAAACTGCTGGCTGCACCCACTCATGCATGCACTGATGCTAATTAAAAATTTAAAATTATATCCCTAAGCACATTCATTCATTTTCAGGCAATCAATAATAAAACCATAAAAAAATATTAAGTTAATGAAACATAAACAGAAGATTAAATGAAGAAATCATACATTAGCTATGCTCAAAATGATTATAGAGATAAAAAAAACAAGGTACCATTGGTCATGTCCAGATTCTCTCTTATTTTTGTATATTGTTCTATTAAAAGTGCTACATTTTTACTTTCTCGTATATACAAAGTATAGAGAAAGTATTGTAATCGTGCAAAAAAAAAAAAAATCGAGATTTTTACAAATCTGGACGTTTTACACCTCACTGATATGGAAAAACATAATTTTGCAATCTTGTCCGTATGTCTGTGTGTGTGTCTGTCCGTGTGTAAACACGATAACTTGAGTACCGTTACAGTTAGGTGGATGAAATTTCATATATAAGTATTTTATCAAAATCGTAGATCCGTATCAACTTTTGACCGATTTCCGATAACCGGAAGTGGTACTTTTCCTACTTTGAATTTTTCAAAAGCCTATAACTTGAGTACTATTTCAGATAGATAAATGAAATTTCACATGTAAGTAAAAGATCTAATTCTCTACCTTCTGTTAAATTTTGAGTAATTTCCGTTGACTGGAAGTAGTACTTTACGCTACTTCCGATTTCTCAAAAAACTAATGTAAATTTTAAAAGTACTAATAATATTGCACACTATTATGTGCTTTTTTATTTGGCGTTCACTTGGTGTGCAATTAATTTGTCTACGAGATTTTATTCTATTTTTAAAACTTTAAGTATTTAAAATGGATTAAAAATCATGTCTATAGCCCGAGTTCCGATCCCCTGTTATTTTATATAAGAATATTCGAGAAAGTTTAGGGGAGATCACTCCCGGTTTATTTTGTTTCTTATACAAATCCTACTTATGTTTTTTTAAATAGAGAATTTTGTAACAATACACCATTCCTTTATTTTATTCTAAAATAAGCAACATTAAAACTCAAATGCAAACAATTAAAATCAGAGTATTTATAAAAATAGATAATATGTAAGATGAAAAGATAATGAATGAGTGTCCTACAAATACAGTCAAGCGCTACACACATATTCAAATGGAAGATCATTTGCTTCCAGATGAAGCACTAGCCATAAAACATAGCATCTGGTCTTGTAAAGAATTAAAATAAAATTCCTGTAAAATAAAATAAAAACCCAGTGGTTTAAACAAATAACTGTTGCAGTACAGATTTTTTTCTGCAAGTGAATGATTATATTACTGTGATGCATTATGATGATCTCAGTGTTCTAGTGTTTCCATTAATAATTCAGTGAAGGGTCAGCATACAAAAGAAAAAGACATTTTTAATCACTCTCGTAGAAGAACAGCAAATAGAATGACTTTGCTTTATTGATTCTAGAGCTTCATCCTCACTCAGAACATTTATTTTTTCTTATTAGCTTCTTTGGCTGTGATAGAAAAAGCAGTTTGTGTTAGGGTGATAATATATGCAAAGTGTTCACTAATGGGAAATAACTGGAGAGAGTATATAAGGGAGGTAAGTTGTACTTTTTAAAAAACAGTTTGGTAAGCTTAATTTTACTCATTAAAAAAATAACTAAAAAAGAACCAAAAAAACTTCGATATCAAAACAGCTTGTTGAATGGAACAAATTGTTTTCAGTACATACTATGCTGACCATAAGCAAAATTAAAGAAAACAATCAGATTTTTTTTTTAAATGCTAAAAGGCATAATTTCAGCCAGTTTTAAAAGGAATGTGACTTATTGATTACTAGGAAACTTTAAGTAAACCTTTAATCAGATGCTTTTAAGCAATTACTCAGCTGTGTTATATTTTCATTAGACAAAAATCTAATGATTTTAGCTTCAGTTTTCCATTAGAAAACAGATTGCTTTAGATGTACTTTCAGCTTATCATGCTCAAGTTGGTCAGTTTGAAAAGTGTGTGTTCACTTACATTTTGTTGGACTTCAATGGATTGGGAGTTACATGACAATAGACTTCTACAATAACAAAGAACTCAATGATATTACACTCAAATGACATTTGACTTATATTTATTGGATTTGCCATTACAGTTAGCCAATGGTGGAGTAGGTATTTTGTGCCATCTAAGTTTGTCACAGTTTAGAAATACTTAAGATAGTTATTGAACAGGTCAAGCAAGTCGTCACTTTTACTTGTTTCAAGATATCTCTAACATTTGGCTACACCAGGCTTTGGAACAAAGCTCAACACAATTTTAGTGTAGATAGTTCTACCACTAGTGGCACAAAGTGAAACCAGTTTATGTTATAAGAAGTGTTGTGTGCGAGAAAAAAAATATCTGGCCAACCGAGAGCTCTTTCTATTAGCAGTGTTTGTGTATTCTCAAAATCAATTTTTAGCCACACATTTTATATCAGCTGGCTATTTTTAGATTTACATCTAGGATTTCCAGCAAAAGGTTGAAACTAATACTTGACTTTAAAATGAAAGCTGACTTTGGAAAATTGATTTCAAAGGGGATTTAAATTCTGTAATGTGTGATGAGAAGTGTAGTGGCTGTTTTTTGTTTTAATAATTGAAATTAATTTTCTTATGGCTTAAAAATGTTTATTGTATTATTTTTTTGTTGTTCTTTCAATAGTTAAGAACATTGTTGCTTGAAGAGCTGAGAAATTAACAATACTCTTCAGACAGACAGAAGGTAGGTTAACAACAACTCATGGAGGTGGTCATTCAAAGCCAACAGAAAACATATAGGAACCAGTCTACAGAGAACTATGTACTCTCACATAAAGTGACCAGTCTACAGAGAACTATGTACTCTCACATAAAGTGACCAGTCTACAGAGAACTAAAGTGACCAGCCAACAGAGAACTAAAGTGACCAGTCTACAGAGAACTATGTACTCTCACATAAAGTGACCAGCCAACAGAGAACTATGTACTCTCACATAAAGTGACCAGCCAACAGAGAACTATGTACTCTCACATAAAGTGACCAGCCAACAGAGAACTATATACTCTCACATAAAGTGACCAGTCTACAGAGAACTAAAGTGACCAGCCAACAGAGAACTATGTACTCTCACATAAAGTGACCAGCCAACAGAGAACTATGTACTCTCACATAAAGTGACCAGCCAACAGAGAACTATGTACTCTCACATAAAGTGACCAGTCTACAGAGAACTATGTACTCTCACATAAAGTGACCAGCCAACAGAGAACTATGTACTCTCACATAAAGTGACCAGCCAACAGAGAACTATGTACTCTCACATAAAGTGACCAGTCTACAGAGAACTATGTACTCTCACATAAAGTGACCAGCCAACAGAGAACTATGTACTCTCACATAAAGTGACCAGCCAACAGAGAACTATGTACTCTCACATAAAGTGACCAGTCTACAGAGAACTATGTACTCTCACATAAAGTGACCAGCCAACAGAGAACTATGTACTCTCACATAAAGTGACCAGTCTACAGAGAACTATGTACTCTCACATAAAGTGACCAGTCTACAGAGAACTAAAGTGACCAGCCAACAGAGAACTATGTACTCTCACATAAAGTGACCAGCCAACAGAGAACTATGTACTCTCACATAAAGTGACCAGCCAACAGAGAACTAAAGTGACCAGTCTACAGAGAACTATGTACTCTCACATAAAGTGACCAGCCAACAGAGAACTAAAGTGACCAGCCAAGAGAGAACTATGTACTCTCACATAAAGTGACCAGTCTACAGAGAACTAAAGTGACCAGTCTACAGAGAACTATGTACTCTCACATAAAGTGACCAGTCAACAGAGAATTAAAGTGACCAGTCAACAGAGAACTATGTACTCTCACATAAAGTGACCAGTCAACAGAGAATTAAAGTGACCAGTCAACAGAGAATTAAAGTGACCAACCAACAGAGAACTATGTGACCAGTCAAAGGAGAACTATGACATAAAGTGAAAACAGAGAACTATGTACTCTCAGATAAAGTGACCAAACAGAGAACTAAAGTGACCAGCCAACAGAGAACTAAAGTGACCAGTCCAGCAGGCAACTATGTGCTCAACTAACCAGACAATCACCATTGACCTTGATATCCGCACCTTCCACTCTGTAGCATCCATAATACTGGGTGTGTTGGGCACCATAGGCAACATGATCTCCGTCACCCTGATCTGCAGGAAAAAGCTGTACCGCACTGGCCCCACCATGATGATGGTCATAGACCTGTGTGTTGCCAACCTCATCAGCACTATCCTAATTCTGCCTATGATTGCTATCAACAGCTTCCACGATCAATGGCTTTTTGGCGAGGCCACCTGCCAGGCATTTGCTTACACCATGTACGTTGCCATAACAACAGAGTGTTTGATCCTGATGGACATCAACATCAGCCAGTATTTGGTCATTGTCCACCAAATCACTTTAGACCGCAACAAAGCAGGAATATTAATCTCACTTCTGGTATTACCATGGGTTATTGCCCTTGCAATTTATATTATTCCCCTTTCTAGACTCTGGGACAAATTTGAATATGACCCAAGGAGGGGTTACTGTTCTATCACCAACACCAGGGGAGAGAATAGCTTCCAATCAGTTCTAAGCATGACTTTTATAGCCATCATATCTGTCGTCACAATTTATTGCTACTCCGCAATATTCTACGTGCACACCAAATCTCGACGCAAAACATCCTCTTCTCTGCATGAGGCTGCCGCGAGGTTCAGAGGTCAAGCCCGTAATGCTCAACTGGTGAAAATGATCACTGCTATTCTTTTCAACTACTGCTTGACTTACCTCCCTTACCTACTTACAAATGTGATCGACCCCTGTGGGAGCAGAATTCCCCAGATCATCTACACAGCTGTGATCTATGTGTCCTGGTCCCACACTGCCACCAACCCACTTATTTATGCCCTGATGAACACCAAAATCAAAGCCTTGTGGAAGGGCCTGCTGTTGTGTAGGCAGAGACAAGATAGCAACAGGAAGTCTCCAGAGGCTGGGAATGGTGGAAGACAGACAAACCAGTGCACCATCTCCAACACAGTAGCACACACGGTGCTATAGTGCACCTATAGCTGGATGTGATGTCAGACAGACAAACCAGTGCACTATCTCCAACACTGTAGCAGACACGGTGCTATAGTGCACCTATAGCTGGATGTGATGTCAGACAGACAAACCAGTGCACCATCTCCAATACTGTAGCACACACGGTGCTATAGTGCACCTATAGTTGGATGTGATGCAGACAAACCAGTGCAACATCTCCAACACTGTAGCACACAGGGTGCTATAGTGCACCTATAGTTGGATGTGATGCAGACAAACCAGTGCAACATCTCCAACACTGTAGCACACAGGGTGCTATAGTGCACCTAGAGCTGGATGTGATGTCAGTGAGACAAACCAGTGTACAGAAAGCTGGATGTAAATTTCAAACAAACCAGTGCACCTATAGCTGGATGAATAGACATTTGTGTTCTAAAGACAGGCAGTAAAGAAAAATATTTTATTTGGATTGAAACTGCTTTAAGATAATAATTAATTGTTGCTATAAAAATGTATTGGATAGTAATGAATGTAGCAGAATTGAAGTACTTATTTTCATTGCTTTGTTGTTGTTTTTAGATTATTCGTCAACCTCAATTATTAATCAAAATAAATTTGAGATTGCTGATCAATTGAAATTCAGTTATACAGAATTATTTTGGCCATAAATGATACTCCTTAACACAAGTCTGCAATGAATTTTTAAAATTTTTCTTGTTAAATCAAAAAATTTCTAATTAGGTATAATTGGTATTGTTTATGATGAAAGTAACAGTAACTTATGTCTGGTACCCATTAGAGCTGGGTGGACTCAGGGACACATTACAGACTTGTCAGAGAACCAAACTCCAGGATTTCCTATGTGTAACTGAGCACTCTATCTACCACTCACTTGAAAGTAAACATGTTAAATTGTTTGCTGTTAAGCTATTATAAAAAAGTCTTTGTTAATTTATTAAAGTTAACTAGAATTGAATGATGTTTTGCAACACTCTAAAAATGTTATGCCCACTGTTTATCACTTTCTTGTAAAATTATTAATAAAGGTTGAGATAGAAAACAAAAAGTTTTCTCTTGTTTTTGTATGAAGCAGATGACTTGTATTGACAATTTTATAGTCTAAACCTAATCAAAGAACTGTAACTGTGTCAACTTAACTGGACGTGAGTACATATTTATAACACAAGTAACCATATACAGTCGAACCAGGTTATGTCGACTGCATAAGGGTAAGTAAGTAAGTGATGAGATAACCAATCATCAAGATAGCCGAAAACAATATGTTGGCAATATATTAATGTATACTACAAATTTCTTTACGTAGATGAAGTGTGTTGAAAAATGAGAATGTTTATGCAAGTGTTTATGGAAGTTTTATTAAAATACAACATCAAAACCTTGATTAGTTTGATCAAGCTGCAGCATATTATAAAATTTAGTATACAATGACCTACATGTTTGCTACCAATAATGCTTCTGTTACATGTATAGGCCCTATGTGCAGCATCTATTAGTAGTAGAGATTTACCAGTACATAATATAAAGAAAATACAACCCTAATCATGATGAAAAAAGTGTTAATGTACAACTTAATCACAAATCTAAAAAAATAATTATGATGTGAAAATTCTAATGCGACATCCCAAACCGAAAGTTGGATAAAATATTAATCATAATAGCTAGAAACTAATTTTTTCTAAAATCTCACTCATTCACATACTATTGCTTATATATTTATGCTTTTTGCATGAATATAATGAGCATAATGCAATAGAAACAGGACTGGTAATAGCCGACACATCAAGTCATGTTTGGTCACATTTACTAGTACAAAACTTAAAATCTTTGGTTTGCAAACTGTAATTAGATCAACATAACTGATAATAAGTTACAAATTTGGCCCCCTTTCATGCTTGAGATACCAGGGTTCGACAACATAAAAGATTCAACTTAACCAATGAAAAATTGCAAAACAAACGTCAACTTAACAGTTAACAAGGTTAAGTTAATCAAGAAGAGAGGTTTATATAAACCTTACCTGGGTATTCTAGACCATCAGGAAAAAAGTAGTCTGTAAACTCCATGTGTAGCACTGCCATCTCTGGTGGTAAATGTAAATGGCGTCGGTCTGAACATAAAAGTTTATTTGGTCCTGTCCTCTTAACACCTGGCATAGACACCATGTACACAGTCATATCAAACACCTGCAGGAGTACATTCATTGTCATCATTAGTTTATAGACTTAGTGTTTGGGTAGTTATTTATACTTAGTAAAATAGTTGCACAATACAATACAATGAACACAGTCATTTCTACATTCTGCAGAACTGGGTTCATTGTCATAAATATTTTAGATTATTTCTGAATAGTAGATTCATACTTAAAGAATTAATAAAAATAGCTGGATTTTAATGTATGCAGTCTTATTAATAACCCACAAGACAAAATTTATTAGGTTGAAATTTTTCTTAATTTTGAAGCATAAGCAGGGGTGCCACTCATTTTTTAAGTGAATCCTGAAAATGAATCCCAAAATTTTACCAATCCTGAAACTAAAATTTGAAATTTTTGAAACCCTGAAACTTAATTCCGCGCGGAATTTCAAAATAAAATGGACTATTATTTCATTATTTTTGAGACATTTGATTCATATTATGTTCAATTTACATTCCTTTAAAATGGATTTATTTTCTTTGTAACAAGCTTCAAATAAAAAATAATCTTTAAAGGATTGTGCTTACAACAAAATTAGCTTACAACGTTAGTCCCATCACTAGGCCTACCCCATAATGTGCTATTGTAGAACTCCCCCCCCCCCCCCCCAGACAGCTTTTATAACATAACTATTTAATTTTTTAGAACTTCCTAGCTTGAGTTAAAGTGTCAGTCAGCCAACTGTTAAGTAACAAATATTTTGCTAACCTCTACGTCTTGTTGTTGAATAATAAGCCCACTATATGCAGACCCCTAATAAGATTGTCACTGTATTAAAATACAGGGTTGACTTACTGTAGCTATTCAAGGCTTTAATTATTAACAGCCACAACAAAAACCTTAAACCCTGTTTTCCCAATCAACACTAATGAGGTCATCCATAAATGATGTCACGCTTTTTTGACGATTTTTACCTCCCACCTCCCCTCGGTCACATATCGTCACAAAAAGCCAGACCCCACCCTCTAAAATGACGTCACGCCTCAGCCTACCCCCCCCCCCCTAAAAATTGCAGTTGAATTTTTCTTAAAATACGATATTTTTCCAAAAATCTTGTCTGACCTCTGTCAACATATAGTATTTTAATCAATTCCTATTACACTTTATTGAAACAATATTCTTGACCGCGAAATAACGGCTAAAATTCGATTTCTAACATAGCTTTTGGATAATGCAAAAGTGTGATGTCACACCATCTGAACCCCTCCCCCTCCTGACAAAATTACGGACCCCCCTCCCCCTACGAGTGTGACGTCATTTATGAACGACCCCAATGCCCCCACCTTTTATATACACGATGACGTGAAGAAATATCGTGGAAGTTTTAAGTTCATGTCGCGGAATAACAGAATTAAGTTAATTTTAAAAATAATTTTCTACGCTAGTAATACTCATGTCAGAGATGTAGCCGCCCGACTAAGTGAAAAGCGGATTTTTTTTTTACAAGCGGTTCAGAGGGGGCAGTGATAGCGGCTATTTTCTCAGACACGGTACTTCAAGATTTTTTAAACATTTCAATGACGTTTTACCAAAGTAAAAAAAAAAACAATTTGATGTAGACCCTGCTAGATCGTGTAACTAAATTATAGCAGGCCTACATATTTTGTTTAATGATATAAAACGATGCAGATTTTTTTTTCTTGAATCTAGAAGTGGGCCCTTATCCTAATTTATAAAAGCCCAATGTGCGCACATCTCTCTCTCTCTCTCTCTTTCTCTGTCCGCAAAAAATTTTCGCCGGACATCACGTCAGAAACGGCAGCGATATATCGAGAATTTTTTACGGACTTTTGTTGAAAATAATATGTTAGATGTTTTAAATGTATAACCACAATTTTACTTAAAGAAGAAAAATAAAAATTTAAGGCGTATTCGAATGTAGAGAAACAGTATTATTTATGCAACCGGAAAAGCATTAATATATGTGAAAAAGAACGCATAAAACTGTGACGTCACTATTGCTTATACATTAACTAATGACGTCATCTGCCGTGTTAAGAATGAAAAGAAATGAACTATTTCATTCAAATTTGATTTAGATCTACGTACACTATGAAATGTATACAATACAATTTTTCCGGCCTAAACTCATAAAATTTATTTTATGTATTTGGATTCTAGATCTAGAGATTCTAGATCTAGACTAAATCTAAATCTACGCAATAACTAGATCTAGACGTAGACGCTAAGATCTAGATTTAGACTCTAACTTCTCTAAAATCAATTCCAAAAATAAATTTCTATATTAGGACTAAACTATTTCAAGACTTATTTATTTTATACAAAATCTTTGTTTGGAACTGGCTAATTTGGGATAAAAAATTAATTTGAAAGAATAGGCATATTCGCGTAAGTTAAGATTTTAAAATACGTGTTTCATTCTCCGTATTTTATAGGGTGCCTAAATAGCGGAGATGTTAGTGTACATTAAACCACGCAGGTGGTGCGGGTTCGAGACACAGCAAGTCAACTTGGTTAATGTATTTTTTTTTTATTTTCTCGGGCTAAACTTAAAAAAAAAATTCTTTTAGGAATCTAGATCTAGATTGTCGGGTGTCCGATAGGGCACTTCCCGGCGCCGCAGGCGCTTCAAATTTGGCATGATCTTGCCTTGGTGCGACAGAACACGGGGGCCGGTTGGCCGAAAAGTCTACGATGTGGGGGTCAAAACTGACCTCGACTGACCGGTACCTTATATGAGCTATAAATCGAAAAAAAATGTCCACGGAGGAACCTCTTCATAACTCTTGAGGTCGTAGACCGACCTTCGGGCGAATTAATTAAGCATTCAAATTCTCAATGTTTTCGAAAGCCTAAGCGAAGCTGGGCAGCATGCCTAGTTAAAAATAAACACGTTAAAATTAAACAGCGCTTGTACTTGTAGAGCTGCCTTGACCGAGAGACACGACTCAGACTGTGCTTGCGTGTCCTCGTGACGTAGGTCTTAAGGTCAGCGCGACCTTGAAGAAGCGGGTAAGAGATGGTAAAAAGTGACGGTAAAGTTGAGTGAAAACAGCACAGTTCTATTTCATACATAAAATAGTCCTCCAAATAGTTTTTTTCTTTTCTTTTGGTAATACCAAATACACAATTTTGTTTTTGATCGGAGCAAAATCTTTCGGTTGTTTTTTTTTTTAAAGACGATCGGCGATGCTAGTAATGGTAGAATTTAGTTGTTTTTATTACACAGCCTAGCGGTATCCCATTGATGACATCACGTAAATAATGCGAGTTTAACCCCAACCCATATCGTCATAAATAGCCACACCACGAATGACTTCAAAAAGTTCCTTCTACAGTCTCACCCATCTGATACAGCCGATTAGTAGTTGGTCCTTGGCGCACGCGTGAGATTGTTGCTGACGTCATTTACTATTCATTTTTTTTTCGGAAAAGGCCATTAGCGGGAGTGTTGACGATAAAAACGATTTTTACAATGCCAAAATTTTCAAGCTTAAAACGATCTAAAAAAAATTTTAAACTGCAAACCCGGAAATTTTCAAACTCAAATCTTGCGAATCCGGAAAGGGAAAAAAATATGATTCTCGAATCCGGAAATCCGGGATATCCCGGAAAAGTGGCACCCCTGCATAAGTAACAGATTTATTTCATAAAGACACATTTTAATGTGAATGGAAGATTCCTTTTAGACTAACTACTATACATAGAGTATTGATAATAACAGCTGGACATTGATACTAGTTATATCAACTAACTAAAGTAATTTTTTAAAACTTTCTAAACATATATCTGTAAAAATATGTACACAAGGATATATAATAATAATGGATAGAAAGCTCAAAAAAACAGAAAAACAACCTTAAAAATAGATACCAATGCTCCCAGAAGTTGATGGTAACAAAGAAAATCAATGCAAACACTTAAACCAGCTAAACAACGCTGCACTTTGAAATACAGTGTTAAATATTTTCTTGTGTAGACAGAACAATTATCTTCATGTACAGGTTTGCCCTAGTTTTGTAGATCAAATAATGTCTATGATTATGTAAAAAAACAGAGCTGCTTACTTTAACAACAAAACAACTCTCTAACAGGCGAGTAGATCTAGAAGCTGGGGCTTGATGTGACGGAGAGGCTTGCGCAGACCTTGAGCCATTTTTTAAGGTTTGATTTGTGTGGACTAAAGAAATAAATTTAAATTCATTCAGTACTGAGCAATACTTATTTACATTAAACCACAGAAGAAAAAAAGCATTTAATATGAAGTCAAATGCCTTTAGGGATCAGGCAATTCATAGGACTGATAAAATTCATCTGCTTTTGTGGCAACTTATCAAATGATAAATTAAGTGTTAATAAGTAAATAAGTGAGGATATCCATAGTTTTTATAAAATAAATATGGATGTACTATCCGTAACAACTATTGATTTACAAGAAATTAAAACAATAATGCAATGGATGGTTTATTCTCCAATAAAAAGAAAACTGAGATGTAATATACATTAGAAATTGTACATATGTAATAAGTTATATAAAATTCATAGAGAAGGGAGAAAAAGTATTAAGAGACCCACCTGGGCTAGAGTTGACTGACTGACTACTAGATGGTGACAAGGTTTTCTTATTAGCTGTGCTGGGTGATGTGGAAGGGGATGGCTGTGTGGCTTGCAGAGATGGTGCTGATGTGGATGTATGCATGGGAGATGACTCTACAATTTTTCTCAGTTTGACAGCATCCTCCCTGAACTCTGCAAATAGCTTGTTCACCCAGTGGTTCCTGGACCCTGAGTTGTCGGAGTAGCGATGCCATTGTTTTCTTTCTCCACCTTTAGAAATGTAAAAAAAAATTTTTATTAATAAAATGATTAAATAAACAATTTTATTAAAGCATAGTTTTTTACAAAATTGATTTCAATCAGAGTTTATCAAACTGTGTTAAAGCTTCATATTTAAAGTGAGCATGCATAATGATATTATTAAACAAAACTATTATGTCACAAATTTATGAATCACAAAAAAAAATAATGTTAAAATGGGGTGAAATATTAATACTGGCTACAGTGGTTAAGAATAAAATGTTAGATAATAAGAAAAATTAAAGGGAGATAATGAAAAGAAATCTAAAATATTCAAGTTTGTCACAGTTAACCACATCATCTCTGACACAGACTAAATAAGTAGATTTTGTAGAAATAAATACTTTGTTTAGCTGGATCAATTTAATGTCAAGTTTGTCAAAAAGTATGTTGCAATCATATTAATAATTTACATTTCATAAAAACTTGACTTAGCTTTTTTTTTTCAAAAAATTACATTTTAATCCCACATGCATTTCTTTTTTCCACAACTTCCAATGAATTAATGTAAATAGTTAAAGTTATACCTTCAATATAAAAAAAGAAATTAACTTCTGTGAATGATATGATAAAATTTTTGCAGACAAAATCACAAGGCATTTTTCAAAAAGTGACTCCATCCTAGGCAGTGTATATTAAGCAAAGATTTGATGTACACAACTAGCTAGCAGTAAATAAATTATTTTTACTGAAGAGAACCACAGAAAATTTTATTTCCCATTATGGCTAATTAGCTAATTATAAAATTTAAAGATGATTGATACTTACTTAAGTCTTTATAAGTAAGAAGGCTACATACCAGAGTTTATAATTAAAGAGCTTATTTTACATGTCAGATGCAGAACATAGAACAATTCATAAGATGAATTTCAGTATGACTACCTGTACACTCTAAATATTAATGGACTTCTAAAAAATTTGATGGATAAAAATTTTTGTTTTCATGCAATTAATGAAAATGAATAGCAATAAATGTTCAAAAATGCAATAATTCATATCAACATAGTACAGCACAATGAAGAGAAAAAAAAAGCCCATTTACAACATAGCATCTCATAATACTATCTAAGGCAATCAAACAGTCCAGCTTAACAGGCAAACATGTCTTTTAAAATTTGCTTTTTTTTGAAAAAAAGATTTGATCTGGCTGCGAGGATCTACTAAACCAAGCAAGTCACATGGAGATGAAAGACTGCCACCATGTTGGGTATAAAATGGTAAGGTAAACAACTGGAGTAGCTAACCATCTTAAAATCACAATACTGGATTGCTATTGGGTTAGGTGGGGAATACCATCAATATTTCTTTCATTCTCTCAAAAATTAGAACCCATACAAGTTTATGTTTATGATTATTTAATGAGCAGCATGACTAAAAAATGATACAGCTAGTTTAATTGTTCGACATTTTTGAAATTTGAAAGTTTGCATGATGTCTTAATTTATTATTAGTTTATAATTTAGTGGGAACAAACAAACTGACACAATAACACTCATTGTAGGAAGTATAAAAATGTTTATTTATTAATAAGTTATTATTAACTATCAAAGTAGGAGATATGAATTTTAAATATTGTAGTAGGAGGTATGAAATTGTTGATTAGTAAGCTCCTATTTAACTCTTGTACATATGGGTGTTAACTTATTTTTTCATGTTATTTCTTAAAATGCTTTTTATGTTTGTTAGGCATGACACAAAACCATTTGGTTGAGAACTTCAACAATGTTCATAGCACTGAGCTTTATTTCCTAACCCTACAACAAAGTTACATCCAGGCTTCCTATTGAAATAGTGGGCTATATACCTAGTGGCACATACATGATCAACTATAGCAAAACATTGAATACGGCATAGAAAATGTGTCCTGGTGGTTTCCTATGATTGGGGTATCTCTAGGAGACTTAGTTCAAGCAAAAAACCATACACATGTGTGATTTTATAATGGTCAGGCTAAGATCCACTCACCACGAGTCATTATAAGGTCTATCTCTGTAGAGTAGGTCATGAGATTAACAGTACGTATAAGACTGACATACATTTGAGACAAGTACATAGAATACAAACTTAAAATGACATTATGAAATGAACTTCATGTCTTTTTAATATTATGATATGATTATGAATGACACTTTAGGCTACTAACCTTGAAGCCACATTAGTTTAAATGTAATCCATTTTTATTACTGTTTTTATTTTAGTTTCTTATTTGCCTAGTTAATAAATTCTATATTTTCAACATTATGTGTTATATTATTTATAGATCTATATATTATTCTAAATTTATATATATATATATATTTTAACACCCATTAAGAAGTTTCCTACATAAAGCACTGTTTTAAACCCCACATATTATTTTCAGCATACATGTTTATTTAAAATGTTACAATACTATTAGTTTACTCATACTATATTTTCAGAACACATGTTCAACAATTTACATTTCTATAAATATAGTCTAAGTATACAGACACCTCAGGCAGTCAAAGGAGAGCTAATATTGTTAATACAACAGACAATACCGTTCAATACCAAGAATGACTAACTTAAATGTTGTGCAACTAGACTGTTCTAGTACTATCTAGCTACAACCAAAAGACTGGCTACTATTTCAGATTATCAGCTCAGCTATGAAGACAATAGCTAATGTAATATAGACGTGAAAACTTGAATTAAAGTAATAATGCTCTAAAACAAGATGCTATGCTATACTGTGGTTAAAAAAAAATAACTGCAAACTGCAATACTTTAAATAAATATACCTATTTAAATAACTTATATAAAAAATGGATAAACTGTGAAAAAATAATTGAGATAATAAAGATAAATATAGTTAATAAAAAGAAATACAAGAAACATTAGAACATAATGCTGAGTAGCCAATTCTAGATTTTCAAAAAGATTCTTACTTTCCAAATCATTTATCTCTGTAAAGGGGAAAGAATAGTAATACAGTAAGTGACACATTCAGAGTTGCCTTTCTTACATAAACACTTTTTTATTGCATTGCTAATACAAAGGCTAATTTTTACTTTTATCAGTAAATTATTCTAAAAATGATGATGCAGATAAACTGCAACAACTTTTTTTAAAAATCACTGTTAGATCAGTTTGCGCAAGATTCGTATGATAATATTTAGAATCTAGTTTATGCTTCAATGTTAATTTAGAAGTTTTAAAATGCAAAATCAGGTTAAAAAAATAATTTTAACAGAAAACCCTCCAATCATTTCAACTCAAATCCCTGAAGCTGGTAAATAGAGCTGTTTGTCTCACACACAATATCTTGTTAACCTTCTGACAGACTTGAGAGCAGGGTTGGGGAACATGAAACAATGGCACACACCCATCAAGATAAGGGAGACAACACTAACCTGCTGGGTGGAAGGGGTAAAAGTCTATGGACAGTTTGTTGAATGTTATCTGCATGGAGCCTCCATTGATCTTCCAGTGCCTGGTTTCCTCTTTGGCTGAAGGGAAAAGACAAAAACAAATCAAAGGTAACAAAAAAATCATTGCTGAAGGGAATTGACAAATACAAAGCTCAAGTAAAAAAAAAATAAGCTGGTGGTGGAGAGACAAAAACACAAAGTCAAAGTAAAGAGAAAAATCAAAGGAAAGGACAAAAACAAAGCTAAAGTAAACCCAAAAAAAAACAACATGCTGAAGGGAATAGACTAATAGTAAAGTAAAAGTAAAGTTCCCTTTTCAAACCTAACGGTGTATGGGGCAAGTGAAGTAGAGTTCACTTGTTTCTGTGACCTCAGCATATGAAGAGATAGTGTGGTCAACACTATGCCCAGACGCCTTTACTTTCCTTAATGTGAGTTAGGTACCCATCAGAGCTGGGTGGACTCAGGGGCGGTCTACTGACTTGAACCCGGATTCAAACTCGAGACTTACGGGTTAGCAGTCCAGCTCTTTACCCCTAGGCCACTCCGTCCCTCAACAGACTAATACAAAGCTCTAATAAAAAGAAGAAAACAGAAAGGAACAGACAAAAACAAAGCTAAAGTAAATAACAAAAAAAAACATTGTTGAAGGAAACAGAAACAAACAAGTGAATGCAACAGACAAACAGCAGTTATGAAGTAGCGCTGAGGGACACGCCTGGTCACATTTGAATGGTGTTCTAAACCCACTGACTTAAACGAAGTATAAACAAGTCACTCGTAAAGTAAAGTTATTCTTTTAGTTAACTGTATAAGTGACTATAACTATGAAAAGTACCTAAAGTTATTTCAGACAATAATTTAGTCAATGCTGGCAAAAATGTCATAACATCCAGAATTTTTTTTATAAAATCCACATATAAAACAACCCACATACCTTTCTCCCCTATACTAAATGCAAGAAAGCTATGAACGAGTTAATGTGGTGGTACCTGGACTACTGTCATCACACAGGTGTAGATCAAAGCGACTGGTGATTAGATGATATGAGGTGCTGTACACATCAAAACGTGAGAACAGTTTGGCTGATGTTGATTCCTGTCTGTCCGGTGTTGACCGCTGCTGCTGTTGATGAAAGCTGCCACTTTCTGGCATGTGCCCTTGTTTCTGGATTCAGGGGAAATGTTTTATCAAACAAAATGTCACTTATGTTGAACAATTTGTTTTATAGCCACTTTCTGGCATGTGCCCTTGTTTCTGGATACAAGGGAAATGTTTTATCAATTAAAATGTCACTTGTGTTGAACAATTTATTTTATAGCCACTTTCTGGCATGTGCCCTTGTTTCTGGATTCAATTAAAATGTTTTATCAATTAAAATGTCACTTGTGTTGAACAATTTATTTTATAGCCACTTTCTGGCATGTGCCCTTGTTTCTGGATTCAATTAAAATGTTTTATCAATTAAAATGTCACTTGTGTTGAACAATTTGTTTTATAGCCACTTTCTGGCATGTGCCCTTGTTTCTGGATTCAAGGGAAATGTTTTATCAAACAAAATGTCACCTATGTTGAACAATTTGTTTTATAGCTTAGCATAGCACTCAACACACTACCCATACAAATGCTGTGGTCACCAAAAACAGGCAAACTCTACTTCATCTGACCCAGGTACTGTCAGGTTCTAAAAGGTATTTAATGTACTTGCTGAATCATTTTTGAAAATGGAGGAAAAAAATATAACTAGTATATCCTAAGATTACATGTAAAAAATGAGAAAATATGTCTAATATGCCAATAATGAAAGTCCTCCCATAATTGAATGGTGTTTAAAGCTTTGAAAAAACTATTTAAAGGCTGGACTAGAATGATAGGTCTGCTTGCTTTTTGAAAAGGCAAATTGATTTTTCAAAATGACTGTATAACTTTTCAATCTCTGTAAGCTACTAATATTTTTATTTGTAGAGAGTTAGACTGCTAACGAAAAAGTCTCAAGTTCAAAGCTGGGTTCAAATCAGTGGAGTGCACCAAACTCTGATGGGTAAATAACTCATTTTAGGGGAAGTAAAGGTGGTTGGGCATAGTGCTGACCACAATATCTCCTTGTATGCCGAGGTCATTGAAACAGATGAGCTCTACTTAATCAGCCATATGTGTCTTGAGCACAAACAGGAAAAAGATGAATATGTTTATTACTAGACATACATTTCTGCTGTTTCAAGTTTAACCCTCAACCTGTATCAAGCTCTACTTATTCTGCACATGCAACTTGCAGGTATATTTCATGTAATATAAAACCAGAGGCAGGACAAGACAAATTCCAACCTTTAACTTTTCAGCTGCCAACCTTTTGCTCTGCTGGGCTGATCGTTCTATCACTTCTTCTAAGGAGTTTGCATAAAGGATAGCAGCTTTCAGCTGAGTAATAGTCAACACCCAAAGTAAGTCATCTAACAGGAAGGTCAGTCTGGATGAAATTATTGTTGAATCTGAAAATAATTGATTTACAAGAAATTTTGATTGAAAATCTCTTAGATGATACAGTAGAAAAGTCATTCTAAATGTATGAATTTAGAAGAACAGTAAAATACAAGAAAGAGTTAACTTTAGAAAAATATAAGGATAAAAGCAAAGTTTTGTAATAATTCAGATTGTCGAGCTGCTTATAAATTACAGAACAAGTGTAGTGTTACTGAGGTCAATACCACTGTCCAAGTCACTATGAAACAGCCAATATATTTTTCTCAGATAGTCCAAGCTGTCCATGTTTTATTTTTTAATAAACAGTCTCCTGTTGCTACATAGCTGACATATTCACCAATGTATTCCAAATACTGACTACACTGTTGGTACTTAGTTAAGGTACTGAACATTTTAAATTGATACAGAGAGCTGGTCCATGTGTATGTGTAGTGGAGGTCTGAATACATTTGGGAACCACTTGTGTGGTGTAGAAATCTTGGTTAACTATGTGTCAACATCAGACAGTTTTACTCTGAGACAACAACAATAGAGAGACCAGAAAGTGTGGCCCTGAGGGGATCCACTCAACTACTGGTATTGTTTCATTCCATGGAGCCACCAGCACCCCACTACAGATAACTCAATGTTAAATCAATAAATTAGACACAATGAATACACTTTGTTACAGAATGCTGCAACACAAGCTTTGTTACACAATACTGTAACACAAGCTTTGTTTTACAATACTATAACACAAGCTTTGTTGTACAATACTTTAACAAGCTTTGTTACAGAAAGCTATAACATAACACAGACAAGATACAACTTACAAGAATACAAAATCTACATACACCACAAAATATCAACAAACAGCTAGGAAAATAGAAAAAATTTCCAATGATTGTTTCCTATAACAAGATAATAACTTATCAAGCACCCAGGGAAAAGATGTGTTTTACAAAGGTTGGTTTTTACAGACTATCATTACACTGCCATTATCATCTTAGCTCATGTAAGACAATCTACTTAACATGACATTCAGGAAAACTACCAATATTGATTGAACATGTTACTGAACACATACATTGTACAGAGATCAATGGCTTAAGTGTCTAGACTTCTCCTGTACAAGAACTACTCTCAAAGCTGATGGCTGAAATCAGTGTAATGTTTTGAATACACTCCCAGATGAGTTTGGTTAAATAAAAGGGAAAGCACTCTCTTGAATTTGTGTAGGGAAGGCAGGGCATAATGATCCAAAACACACAGAAAATACAAGCTTTTGGTTCACATTGAATTTATTCAGCGCAATGCATTTCCTCTTTTAACTCATTATGTAAATTGTGGTGATTGAAATTAATGTACCAAAAGACATTACAGTTTGATTAATCTTAACAAATGTGGGTCACAAGTGCTCTCCTTTAATCTGAAATCATTTAAATGCTTGGATAATGTAAAATCTAAATCTAACTGTTTGAATAACTGCCCGACGATAACCTGCATTAGTTTTAACTTAAACTTTTGATCACTTTGTACAAAATCCAGATTTTTGTCAGTGGACAGTAAACTATTGAAATATTTGTACTAATTGCACATTTGAGGTAATTATCCTTAGAGAAGGATGAGTCTCAGCAGCAGGAATCGCCTCAAATAAAAATAAAATAGGGAATGGATTTGCATACACAGCCTTACAACAGCTGAAAAATATGGGTTTTAAGGTGAAATATGATTTCAGTAACATGCCCCATCTAGACTGGTAACCCATAAGTCTCGAGTTTGAATCCAGGTTCAAGTCATAACACCATCCCTGAGTTCACCCAGCTCTCACTGGTACCTAACTCATGTTAGGGAAAGTAAAGGCAGATAGACATAGTGCTGACCACACTATATGCTGAGGTCACAGAAACAGGTGAACTGTACTTCACTTGCTCCAAAGACCATCAGGTTTGGAAGGGATCTTTATTTTAATTTTAGCATGCACAGCCTACAGTTACAGACAACATGCTGAGTTGTATTGAAAGACAAGACCAGAGCACTGGGGAGACCTAAGATATAAAAAGAACCAACAAACCCCAGACTTAAGTCCCTTTCGTCCAGCAATAGACTAAACATCATTAAACATAATCAGTGATAAGCATGTTAATAACCTGGCCTCTAGCCACTGACCAGTGCATCTAGCCAATTAACACTTCCCAACAAGAGGGCAGAGATTAGCATCAAAGGTCAAACCACCAAGTGCTGTTAAACAGATAAGCTTCAATGCTAAAAATAGAAAATATGCTATTTCAAGCAGCAGTGTAAATACATTCTATTACTTTTGGTTAATTACTAAAACATTGGCAGGATATATTCAATGACCCTAACCTTGGCACTGGATTTTACCCTAGTTCTAGTCCTAGCTATGGGCTAACCTTGACCCTAACAAAGCTACTCAAATAAAAAAATTAATTATAAGATGTATATTAAGTAAGTAAATAAAACAAGTAGACATTTATTCCTGCCATAGGAGAAGACCGAAGTAGGTAACAACAAAAACTTGACTGCTTCACATTAGGTCAACATATAGAAACTTTACCACAAACAATGTTGTCTTCAATTGTACCTATCAACCTTTTCAAGCCAATAAACACTGCCAACTTTACCACAAACAACATTGTCTTCAAATGTACCTATCAACCTTTTCTAGCCAATAAAAACTGCCAACATTACCACAAACAACATCGTCTTCAATTGTACCTATCAACCTTTTCTTGCCAATAAACACTGCCAACTTTACCACAAACAACATTGTCTTCAATTGTACCTATCAACCTTTTCTTGCCAATAAACACTGGCAACTTTCCCAAAACAATATTGTCTTCAATTGTACCTATCAACCTTTTCTTGCCAATAAACACTGGCAATTTTACCAAAAACAACATTATCTTGAGTCCTACCTATCAACCTTTTCTTGACAACAATCCTAATCTTGGCTTGGTTGGCAATGAGCCTGAGAGGGGTGAGGAAGTCCTCCTCCTCAGCACTAACAGCTGTGGCCTCTATCCGCGTGGTCTGCCACTCAATTTCCTTAAAGAGCAGCACCTCCCCCCTGGCTGCATCCCTTATCCGGGTTGACCTCAGGTCAGTTGGTACAACCCAGGTTGGTGACATGGACTGAACTTTCACCCTTGACAGCTAGACAATGTTAAGTTTTTAGAAGAGAAAAAAAAGAAGTCAAAAAAACTTGTTTACATAACTGTCTTGTTTTAAAATAAAACAGCTGTATTAAAAAGAAACAATAACCAATGAAAATGTGTTATAAATTGCATTAAAATACATGAAATTTTAATCAGGTTAGTAAAAAAAAGTTTGTATTTATTTTGTTGTTAATTATTTAAGTAATAAGTATTTGGGTAAAAAAATGTAAACACTTGACATTTATTTGAATACACTTTGAAATGTGTTAAAATAGCTCATTATTTTAAAGTCCATTACAAAGGTATAAATGAGACTAAAGATTTCCATGACATTTGATTAAAACACAAGATGAAGATTAAAAACATCACTACAACTGTTATATTTAGAATACTGGCAGTTTGCCAGGTAAAAAAAGAGTTATGGCTAGTTATTGATTTGTAATCTATTTCTTTGAAATTGTTTCATTTTTCTTTTTTCCTAACCTGGCTATTCCAAACAAAATCAATGGTTAGTGTCATGGTCAAGATATTTGATACATATATGTTTTAACTCAGGGGTCAAGCATGAATACAGCTATGTATACCAAACTGTGTTGACCAACCAACCTGCAGGGAAGCTTGGAACTTGTGTGAGTGTAGCTTGACCACCACGGAGTTGACATGGACATAGATACCGTCCATAACACGATCTACAAAACCATATTTCCCACCAGATCTGATAAGAGAAAACATTCAGAAAACAAAGCTTTATTCATTTGTATTATCACATGGTTATATATTCCAAATGGTAATGTTTAACAACTGAATGACAATTTTTTTTTTATAACTTGAATGCTGGCCCACACAATGAGGCAGCTTAGGCTTCATATAGGTTTACTGTTGGCTGACCTCTGAACTTAGAGGTTACAAGAGTTCAAACTTGAGCTAGAAGCTATTGTGGAAGCTAATTTTTCCTCATTCTAAATTACAACATAGGAGGTGATTTCCTTGAATGCAATTAGTTATTGCATGTCAACATGTTAGGTACCCTATGACCCTTCCACTACCCCTTGAGCTTTTTTCAGCTATTTCTTTCTACATTTGCTTCCATAGCTTGTCCACCCAAGAAAACAGCAGCTTTGATTTGATTTGAGTTTTCTCTACCAGATGGATTACTGGCCCCCAGCTAATAAGCCTCAATTGCCCCAAGTCAGAACTAGAAACTTTTGGAGTAAGCAGTCACCCTCCAGCCTGGCCACACAGTTAAAGCAAGATGTCAGGACTAGTAGGATTCTCCAAGTAATTTTAAAAGCTTAGTGGTTAAAAGGCAACAAAAAGCAATGACTGGCAAGTAAACTAAAACTTAACCCAAAGAAAATGGAAATGTTAATGTCTGATATTATAAGGGAAGGGAGGAGGTGGGGGTGGTAGCCCTGCATTGTGATGAGTGGGGGGAGGGTGAAACTGGCTAACATGGTGTGACATCTATGAGTGCCCCCTTACACCCCCCACCCCCTCTAAAAATAAGTACACTATATGATTATCTATAGTTTAATATTCATCTGATTTAACCCAATGAATGGTGTCCAAGATATCGATTTAGATCTATATCTAAATACACCACTTCATTCTCTTATTTTTTTCAGTTAAAATTGTAATTTTAGCTTTGAATCAAAGTAAGACAACTTTTGCTTTTTTTAAGAAAAACTGATAACAATTATCTCCCCTTAGTAGAACGACCAACTTATCCCATTTCAAAATGCCTGCGGTCAATACAATCAGCTAGCACAAACTCAATTAGTCGTAGAAGAAACACTTTTTATTTTCCATTTTCTTCCCCCAAAACATAAGCCAAATGATTGTAGCAAAAGAAAAAAAAAACCCACTGGCTGCTGGCCAACGAGACCCATCATAGCACAACAATACGTCCAACTTACGTCTGCTGGCTCTGATTGTTCGGGGCTCTCGGCTGCTCGCATGTCTCTGTTTCCACGATGACCTCATCCAAGTACTGACAGTTGGGATCACAGGGCGGGAGGGGTGTGGAGGGCAACGTGTGTTACATTTCATTAGACATTTGAAAAAGGATTATATCTATATCTTTATATATATATATATATATATATATATATATATATATATATATATATATATATATATATATATATATATATATATATATAAACTGGGTTACCGTTTATTTTTTAAAAACCTATCACAAAAGGCTTCCTATTTTGTAGAGAAATTTCTGAGACAATTGTAATTGTATGGGACATGTGAAAGCGAAGCTTCGGGGTAAAAGCGATAATTTTGTCAAATTGATAGGTGTACTTTAGGTGGTCACGTCATAAATTGATAGGTGTACTTTGGGTGGTCCCGTCATAAATTGATAGGTGTACTTTAGGTGGTCACGTCATAAATTGATAGGTGTACTTTGGGTGGTCAGGTCATAAATTGATAGGTGTACTTTAGGTGGTCAGGTCATAAATTGATAGGTGTACTTTGGGTGGTCACGTCATAAATTTTTTAAATTGATAGGTATACTTTGGGTGGTCACGTCATAAATCGATAGGTGTACTTTAGGTGGTCACGTCATAAATTGATAGGTGTACTTTGGGTGGTCACGTCATAAATTGATAGGTGTACTTTGGGTGGTCAGGTTATAAGAAGTTGGTGCCTTCTAATCAAACACAAAGTATCATCAAAATATGACACAAAAGACGTATCATATGACAAACTTTACGTATGTCACAGACATAAGAAGTAATAATTTTAAAGGAAAAAAAAGAACACTACTTTACATATTTGCATGAATAAGAAACAAGATTTTGAAAAAAAAATGTGTATGTATAATAATTTCTTATCTTTTCTTAGCAAGTCAAGAATAGTTAACAGTAATAACATATCAAGAGAAGTGGTGCAATGTAAATACTTGAACCATGGTGATAACGTTTTTATTAAATTGTGACACATTCTTTGTGTAGTGTACTGTTTGATGGGTCTAAAGTGTACACCAACACAATAAATACGATGCGATTAAAATTCTAAATAAAGAGTGAGGTTGTCAGTTTGTACATACCAATCGTATAGGTTGAGATTTGAGACTTGTCCACTGGATCTGTGGGGGAAAATAACACAGGGATTAAAGATGTGGTGACAACAGTGGTAGGATAGAATCATAGTGCTGTATCAAGCTACAGATAGAATCATAGTGCTGTATCAAGCTATTATCTGATTTAATGATTACCGAAACCCACGCAACCTTCTCATACAACTGGCATGAACTACATCGTGAAGTTCCACTTTTAGAACCTTGACCTAGTCGGACTGCCAGTCCATTCTAGGATCAGTCAGTCGTACATATCATTAACCCACGTACCCGTCAACAGCCCATTACCACCCACGCCCTAACCGAGCCCGTGAGGTGTTCCCAGTGTAACATAATGACCGGCCCGTTAATACTGGAACCAGATTGTAACCTCGCGTCAGAGATCGAACGTGGGCGGTGTAGGGACGAGAGTAAGCTAAGCTGACAATACAATAAAAAAAACGATTTTAGTACGATTGACTCACGCTAGACATTTACATAATACAGAACTAACGTCACCCTGGGGTGTTCATCGCATGATGGAGGGGGTAGCGCTGTGATCTACTACATGGTAGGTGGGTAAGGATGGTAAGACGTTTACTGGAGGCTAGCAGATCTACCACATGGTAGGTGGGTAATGATGGCAAGACGTTTACTGGAGGCAGATCTACCACATGGTAGGTGGGTAATGATGGCAAGACGTTTACTGGAGGCAGATCTACCACATGGTAGGTGGGTAATGATGGCAAGACGTTTACTGGAGGCTAGCAGATCTACCACATGGTAGGTGGGTAATGATGGCAAGACGTTTACTGGAGACAAACAGATCTACCACATGGTAGGTGGGTAAGGATGGCAAGACGTTTACTGGAGGCAGATCTACCACATGGTAGGTGGGTAATGATGGCAAGACGTTTACTGGAGGCAGATCTACCACATGGTAGGTGGGTAATGATGGCAAGACGTTTACTGGAGGCAGATCTACCACATGGTAGGTGGGTAATGATGGCAAGACGTTTACTGGAGGCAGATCTACCACATGGTAGGTGGGTAATGATGGCAAGACGTTTACTGAAGGCAGATCTACCACATGGTAGGTGGGTAATGATGGCAAGACGTTTACTGGAGGCAGATCTACCACATGGTAGGTGGGTAATGATGGCAATACGTTTACTGGAGGCAGATCTACCACATGGTAGGTGGGTAATGATGGCAAGACGTTTACTGGAGGCAGATCTACCACATGGTAGGTGGGTAATGATGGCAAGACGTTTACTGGAGGCAGATCTACCACATGGTAGGTGGGTAATGATGGCAAGACGTTTACTGGAGGCAGATCTACCACATGGTAGGTGGGTAATGATGGCAAGACGTTTACTGGAGGCAGATCTACCACATGGTAGGTGGGTAATGATGGCAAGACGTTTACTGGAGGCAGATCTACCACATGGTAGGTGGGTAATGATGGCAAGACGTTTACTGGAGGCAGATCTACCACATGGTAGGTGGGTAATGATGGCAATACGTTTACTGGAGGCAGATCTACCACATGGTAGGTGGGTAATGATGGCAAGACGTTTACTGGAGGCAGATCTACCACATGGTAGGTGGGTAATGATGGCAATACGTTTACTGGAGGCAGATCTACCACATGGTAGGTGGGTAATGATGGCAATACGTTTACTGGAGGCAGATCTACCACATGGTAGGTGGGTAATGATGGCAAGACGTTTACTGGAGGCAGATCTACCACATGGTAGGTGGGTAATGATGGCAATACGTTTACTGGAGGCAGATCTACCACATGGTAGGTGGGTAATGATGGCAAGACGTTTACTGGAGGCAGATCTACCACATGGTAGGTGGGTAATGATGGCAAGACGTTTACTGGAGGCAGATCTACCACATGGTAGGTGGGTAATGATGGCAAGACGTTTACTGGAGGCAGATCTACCACATGGTAGGTGGCTAATGACCGCTGGGCGCGTAGCATGAATTACACGCCTGGGTTAAGTTGGGAGAGCAGCCATCCAGAATTGTACGTGGGTCAATGTCCACTGAATTAACGGATAATGGACGAGCTATATTTTATATGTTGGCTCAGGCGTGAGTGACAAATTAGGAATTATGTTATGGGCATTAAAATGTACAACATTTAATGAATAACAAATGCCTTAACGCCAAATATTAAAGTAAACATATTCACATTGCTGGTATCGATTATCAAAATATACTTTAGCTCTAGATGTTTAGGTTAAAGAGTAGAGCTAGAATAAGATTAAAATGAAAGCAAGTCTATGGTTTAAAAATGTGTGTAGTTCTAGTTTAAAGTACCTTTACGCGTGTGTGAATATATCTAATCGCCGGGTGTCTATTTTACTACTCTTTAAAAAAAAACCGCATGCTCTATTGAAGTATTACACGCAGCGCCAATATAATTCACTGTCTGACCAGGAAAAAAGCACCATCTAATAAATGGGACAAGTCTCCCGTGAGGTAGGGGATATTGCCTCATTCGACGTCAGACAACCAAGAGGCAATCCCTCACCTCCCTCACCCACGTGCATAATGAAATAAATAAAAGGAAGTTTAAGATGGGCGAGGGGGGTCTTAGGACGGATAGGTCGTCACCGAGATCCTCCATAGCACAACAATGAGAAACGGGGAGGGGGGGGGGGGGGATTGAAGTCTATTATCATTTCTAAGCGTTCAGGTTGGCGCGTTTTAGATCATGGTTTCGGGAATTTGTGTTTAAAGCGCCGAGTTGGAATGAGCGGAGAGACATGAGACAGTGGGTTGGGCAAGTTGGTAGAGGCGGGGGCAGGGGGTGGCGCGACATGTAAATTAGCGGGAAAGGAGGGGGGGGGGGGCGTAATCAATAACGAAAAAAAAAATAAACGTAGTGGAGAATAAAGCGTAAACTGAATGAGGGAGAAAAAGGAAGGAAATAATACCAAGAAGGATGGGATGCCAGTGAGAGAGAGAAGGACCACAACAGGGAAATCAATAACTGCGCTTGGCCAGATTTGTAGGTTCTGATATTCTTAGGTGAGTTATTTTGTTTAAGACAGGGCGGATACGGGGAGAGGGGCATATGGCCATTTTTTTCTTTCAGTGCACCTAGGGAGTTGTGGAGTAGACGCGAGGGTTGAGGATTTAAGTTATTAGCAAATGGTGGAGTTTCAGTAACCGGTGGAGTTTCAGTAACTGGTGGGGTTTCAGTAATTGGTGAAGTATTAGCAACTGGTGGAGTTTCAGTAACCGGTGGAGTTTCAGTAACCGGTGGAGTTTCAGCAACTAGTGTTGGAGCTAATGCGCCCCTGTAACACATGTTGACTATCGTTATTTGATCAGTGCTTTATTACACCGAGAAATATGAAGAGAAAAAAAAAGGGAGGCAAAGATCGACTTGACGTGTACGAAACATCAACCGGAAGTGGTTCTATTTTTGAATCAATATGTCGCTTCAGTCATATTTGATTTTCATCTTCCCAGCCACCCCCTCCACATATCAATTCTATTAGCTATTTAGAGATGTTCTACCGACTTTTCCTGTATCTTTCATTGCTATTAAATGTTGATCAGCATGGAATATATAGAAATGATCAACATGGATTACACTGAAATGATGATCAACGCAGATTTAAAGATTTCTTAGCATTAAAAACATTTTGACAGCATTATGATAGAAATATACGAGAGTCTTCATTCCTGAATGTGTGTTAGGGATTGTACTTCATTAAAATATAATTCCCTTCCAAGCCATTCCAACCGTAGCACCATTTCGCAATAACGTACATCTATTTATTTTCTGTATCGGGTGATCGGCTGGGGTAGGAGTGGTTGTGTTAATGTGACTAGGGCCTGCTGCGATTAGACATTAGCGTTCCGAGATTTTTTTTTTATGTAATTGAACCTACATTACACAATACATCGATCGAAGAAGACTTTTAGCATATAACTTTCTCACCGAATCAATGTGTTAACCCAAGAGAAATCTTACTGTAACCCCATGGATGATGCAACAAGACGGCAGTCAACTAATCGCGCAGGTTACGAGGAGAATTTTAAACCAACATGAAGAATAATTGTGTGATAAGGATTCGTGGGTGTTGGAAAGGGTGATAAATCACGGCACAAGAAACAACGTTTGCAGTTATGTGCACACTTTAAAAAGCAACATGGAAATATAATGTCTGTTAACGATGTGAGAGGGATTACAAATTTCTGCCTAATGACTTCAAATGAGCGAGCTATTAAAAGTTAATTTAATCCCTTTTCACAGAACATTTTATCAGACCGGCTTATATCGACATTAAAGTTGCTATAGTATAGGCTAGAACACAACTCAGCAAAATAAACATCAGTACATAAAAGGCTACAACTTATACAACACCTTATTTACTTTTTAAATCCACGTCTCTAATAACTGCCTCCCGTTACCCCCCCCCCCCAACCCCACGAACGTTGATATTCATACAGTGCAAAAGCTTTTTGTACGTATCGAACGTACCACTGGAACCCTCGGATAGCCAGTGATCAGAGTAGACCGGAAGTGTGGCGCCACTATCACGCCGTGCTTGATACCCCGGCTTAGCTCTGACAGTTGAAACAAAAAGCTCCCATGTAAAACAATGTATTTAAAAGGACGTTTTTTAAAGGGGGTTCTGTGATGGAATACGATGCCTACAACGCGAACCTATTTTTAATAATTTCTATAAAAAAAGAAGATTAGAATGAATGGCTTGGTTACACAGCATTACTGTGTTTATTAAAACTCCCATAGATCACTCTGAGGCCGATGGGGTAGAATGATGCAATAAACAGTGCCAGGAAACGGGTCACCGGTCTGTCATGCGCTGGACACAACTCTACGTCTCGTGGCCGGTACACTTTTTCTGTCCTCCCCCATCACGTGAGCTCACGACAAGAATAAAAACAACGACTTAATGGATAATGCTTCTTTATTCCCCGCCTTTGTGGTTTCTGGGAATGTGGCAGGAGTTGTAAAGTTCACCCGAGGACGGGAT